AACTTTCCTCTTTGACTAACAACGGTGTCAATGGAACATTATACTGCACTCAGAACGAAAAAAGACTCAACTGCTGTATAAAGTACGCGTAGTTGTGCCTTTTTTCGTTACGAGGGCAGTATAAGTCCTAACTATTACGTGCGACGATCTTAAAATCGTCGTAAAAATCTCTTGATCGGCGTGACATCGGCAGGGTATATATTTTTCAGTTGTTAAATGTATAAAATCAACCTTTATACATTTTCAACGTTTTATATTTTAACTTGACAGTTACCAGGTAAAGTACCATGGAGTTTTGACAGTCGAACAGCAGCAGCATTCTTGTGCCGTTTAGTTTGAGAAGTAGTCAGTTTTCTGAATCAAATGTTATTTTATTGAAGTATAATTAATAATTAACAAAGAAGTTGATACTTCATTAAAATTTTAACCTGGTCTCATTCATCGTTCTGACTACACGATCTAAGAAGTTTGGGTCATTGTTTACATTGGAGTCGCTGTAATTTTGACTAGACAATACCAATTGGACTGTTTCAATTGTGATAGTTTTGAGTTCTATATTATTTATTATTGTAATTTAAAACGAAAGAACGTAACGTAGAAGAACGAAAGTCACCGACGTAGCTCAAAGGAGTAACAAGTTGAAGTGGCAGTGGGCAGGCACATAGCTCGTAGAACTGACGGCTATTGGGGCAAAAAGGTTCTCGAATGGAGACCACGAATCAGAAAGCGTTCAATGGGACGGCCCCCTACTAGATGGATGGATGGCAATTTTAATATGTTCAGCAGTGGACGTCGTCCGGCTGATATGATTATGATGATAATTTAGAAATAGAAAATGATATGTAGACAAATAATTTGTTTTGATTAAATGTCTATAAGAGACATTTTTTTGTATTAAGGTGCCTAAAGATTTGCTTTATTTTTTGACGATCGACACGTGCAATCAAACAAAACTAGTAAATGTGTTACCATCAGGTGATAGATATCGTATTTTATGTGTGATCAAACAAAATCGAGTAAATGTGTAAGAAGCAGATGATCGATATCGTATTTTTTGTATGTTGACACGGGTCGATCGTCAAAAAAACAGATCAAATCTGTAGGCACTTTAATTCATACGTTTGTAGCATCCGTTTTTTGGTTATTTATAAGGGTTAAAATCCATTAGCACACATCATGATCACGTCCAAACGCAACGTGTGATTTATGTGGTTTTAACAGCATCATATCACCATGAAATTCCATCCGTTACTCTCATCTCTGGACTGTATTCGCACTTTCCATCAGGCGCGGTGCAGTCATTTTGCCGAGTCACAATAAAAAAAAAAAAAAAGAAGTATGAAGCATGCTGATATGAGGGCCAATCCTAAGTCGATATTATTTTTCAGGGCGAAGTAGAACAAATCGCAATGATGAAGCCTAAAGCACAAACTGAACATGAGTCGGGAATGTTAGAATATTTGGAGGATATTATAGGTACTTCAAGATACAAGGTAGGTACATATATCTAATATTGCATTACATAGCATAAAAATAGTACATTGTAATACTAAACAAATATACTCAATACTACATACAAGCCCGTTGCACCAAGTACCAAGTACTACATACAATACTAAATATATACAATATAATAATAAAGAACTTTTTAAAAGCTTTGCCGATCTTCTCTTGACTTCTTTCTTGTATGAAGGTGCTTTTCCACCGGCTGGGCCAGGCGAGACGACAATTGAAATTTGTATGGCAAAATTTTAATTTCTTTCCTAACGCATCTTCATCGGTAGCACGATATCTCGCGAAATCGTGTTTCTGTTACAGAGTATAATATTTCAATTCTCTTGCCTGGCTCTTTCTCGTCAATCGAGACAATTTTCACAGAATATGCACTAGAAGGAATTGACATTTTGTCGTACATACTTCAGTCATCGTCTCGCCTCGTCGGTGGAAAAGTACCTTGAGAGCTTTTGTCGATGAAACACCTTACATGTTTCTTCTCACGCTTGATCGTTTTTAATTAAATTTTGCTTCTTCCGTCCTACAGGAACCAATAGAACAACTATCCGTGAAAGTAGAGGAGTTAAGTGAGATGCGCAAAGAGAAATTAAACCGAGTTCGTCTCGCCGAACAAGAGAAGCAACAGTTAGAAGGACCCATGAAAGACACCATAGAGCTTATAAATCTGATCAATATTTGGGCTCAAGCCAGAAATAAGCTTTTGCAAAAATATGTGTAAGTCATATTGTTTTACATTTGTTCATTATCATTAGCTCACACGCATCGCATTAACGACGTGAAGATGTGGCTAATATGATTTTGTTTTACAGGTCTTATTTATTTGTATGATTAAAGCTCTAGGAGTTCACACCTACGACTGCATAAAAGTATCACGCTATTTGTTAGCATAGTTTAGGAGAATATGAAAGTAATTTACAGATCTACTAACTATAAGGCCATTCATCACACGACTAATAAGAACAGTGGATTGGTATATAGAATTTATTAATATAAGGAACTCCACTGCTACTAAAACATTTTAGTAGCAGTAGAACTTGTGAAAGTGTTCATCCTGTTTGAAGTACTGCCACCTTACCTACTTCTGCCGCCAAGCAATAATGTGAGCATTACTGTTTGGCGGCAGAAATTGCTGGTGAAATTACAGGCACATGAGACCATCATGAGACCCGTCAACTCATGTCTCAAGGTGACGGGCGCAGTGGCAGTGTCCTTCAGATCGTTGTGGTGTAAAGGTCTGAGTGGCACTGCAATTGTTATAGACAGGTGCGTCGCTCACTACCAAGCGAACGACTTGTTCGTCCCATCATTTGGTATCATATCATAAAAAAAAAATTTAAAAAAAAATATTCTTTGCGCAGTTTCATGCAGTTAAAAATAACCCATCACAAGCGCAGCTGTTTTTTACGATTTAACCTCCACTGGGCTCGCGGTATAGCAAATGAATTTACTTCCATTTTTATTGACATACACTTCCGCAAAGTAACGCCTGAATCTGTTAGTAATTTTATTCTTTATAATTTTCTCACATCAGGTGTCGCGAGATTTTTTTGATACAATTACTATTACTATACAATTACTACAATATAATATAGAGCGATGGAACAAATGATCGAAATTTTAAGGGAAGTGTGTCTTTAAATTTGAAACATCTTTTTTGTTTTTAAACATAATTATATCAATAGTGATTAATTTAGTTGACAGATATAATTCCTCAAGAAAAATTACACTACAGTATATTTCATAAAAAAGATATTCTATTATTATTAAAAAGTAGGCTTTAAAATGTGTCAGTCCTGCAGAAACCTTTTTAATAAACACCATATAATGACGACGTACTCACAATAGACTCAGAGACAAAGAGACTCGTGTTCGGCTGTGGGATGTACATACAGGGATTAAGATTTAGTGACACAAACAAACAAACAGTTAACAAACGAGTTAACGACTCTCACGCACACTAAGAGGAATGTGTAGACATTCAGACATGTGTAGACGCAACGGTACGAACGCACACACTACACATAGAAATGTTTTTATTTCCGTATACCTACCGCCCATTCGTTGTAACGAATATACGGAAAAACTTAGTTAAGTTTATGTTATACTGGAAAGTTTTGTTCTTTAGTGCTTTAAATGTAATAATAATAATAATAATAATAATAAAAAATTTGCACTTTATGAGCGACGTACGGACGGAGACAGTGTTACAAAACGCGGGAAACCTAAAAACCGTCGCCTACCATACCGAACTCGCAACGAGAAATCCCCGATTCTATGAAGATCTGACCCACAAACCTGAAAAGTCTTACAAACAACGGAACGTTGTATACCCGACCAAAACTCCTTATATAGGAATTCAAGTGTAGTAGTTTTTTTATGAAACAATTGTAATTTTGTTTTACTTATTTAGTTCAGGCCACATGACCCATATAATATATACTTTGAGGACTAACATACATACAATATAATAAAACACTATTTCTAACCAATCTAATAACGCACACATAATAATAATAACGCACACACTCACATAGCCCCGCATTAGGGAAACCGTGCTTCGCGGATGCCATGAAAAACCACAAATTACATCCAAACTCACGAGAGAAATAAATGTAGGCCATACAAATATTTCTCCCTCACACTTCGGTCCTCACACTAGGCAAGCCTGAATGGTGAGGTCCCAGACATACGATTTACGTACATTACATATTAGCCTCTAAAAGGAAAAGAAATCGATATAAAAATAAATATGATAAATAGGTATACAATTTAAAAATATGAACAACATTTTCTGCAGTCTTATAAATTAATAAAATCAATAAAATAAAATTCAATGCTGCTACAACATACATTTGATCAAATTTTCAACAAAATCATAAGACAATATAGTTTATTACTATATAGTGTATTGTATCCTAACTTTTTTATTTCCAGACGCGAGGCAAACTTAATTGTAGAAAAGAGACGCCAGGAAATGATTGAGGTAGCCGAAAAATTGGAGGAGATCGACGCGAATTTGGCTAGAATCAGGAACAAATTGCAGGACAAAAAAGGACTGCTCAAAGCTGGGAATAAGTAAGTTTTGTTATTATCGCGTGGGGTCCGAGGCAAAACCCAGTAAGTGAGTGGATTTTCGTAAAACGAGTTATGAAAAGTACAATATAATTAGTGTACTTGTTATGCTCTTTTCGATGGTGGAGTCTAATTAGCAGATTTAGAAATTTAACGCATATACTATTTAGTTATGTACAAACCCGGTATATTATACTCTTAAAAATTACATGAAAAGTACATTATAATGAGTTAGATAACATATTTCACACAAATTCACACACTCATTGGGTTCTGTCTCTGACCCCTCGAATGTTGGCGACTTCGGCGGATGAGTGGTTAACGCATTAGGGATTCACCACATTTGTTCATACGGAATCGCATTAAGCCGGACAGAACTTGAAAAACTTTCATGTCCATGCAACAAAAGCGAAAAAGACGTTGTACGTTTCGTTTCACTATTTTTATTAAAAATTTTAGGTCACTAATATCGCAATGACGTATTACGAACTCGTAATACGTCATTGCGATATACGTCATACGTAATACATCAACTCTCAACGTGTCAAGAAGTATCATCTCTTACAACTGTAAGATGATACGTCTTGAGAGATTGTAATAATTGGCAGATTTGTAATAGTCCTTTGTACGATAGCACAGAAAACGAACAAACTTTTTTGCGTATATATTTTCAAGTCGCGAAATATAAATATGATAACGTAGATTCCAAAATTTGTGTGACATACTCTAAAGTGCCACGGACAAATGAGCAATATTAATACATAATGGGATTCGTACCTGCGTGTGTTTTGCCGATCTGGGGCAACCTCTCAACCAGTTTGCCGTAGCGCCATCTATGAAAAATCTAAACAACTTTTTCTTCACTCAACCAGATAGATACCATTACAGCTGTCAGAGGCTGACAAGAGATGCAATATAGAGCAGGATAGACTCGGGTCCTGTTTGCTTGAAGGAATTTTACTTTGTGTTCGATCTTTGTATTAATAATTATAACAAAGTAACTCACAAAAATTAAGTTAATATTGTGGTAGCAAAATCTCATAATATTAATTTGTAGCAATATTACTATACAGTATTTTTATAGTTTTTACCCGTGTAAAATCTTTCACCAATTTAGGAACATACCAATTCAGGAAACATTTTCTTCTAATTTGGTTGCGGTGTGAACGTCTTCCCAACTTATGCCTGTCCTCATAGTGGAGATAATTAATTTAATAAATTAGATGTTTTATATAAAATAAAACCAGCCGATGTATCGGGTAAGATGGGATAAGGTTAAAACCATAGTTAAAAGGACGACAAGATTAGAAACAATTGTTCAAATATTACAGCCTAATCTAATTTTATTGATAATTTCGTTTTGACAAAAATTTTGTTTCACAGAAAGTACGATGAACTCCGGAAGCAAAAAGACGATTTAACCGAGAAACTTCAAGCGATGAAAAGGAAAACTGTTACCATACAAGCGGATATAACTCAAAGTAATAAGAAAAGGAAAAATTTAGAACAACTCTTGGAACAGGAAAAAGGGAAACTAATTGATTTGGAATTGGTACGTATTAGGAAGCAAGCCTTCCGTTTCGCTTCATTTTGCTTCCGTTCTGTTTGACTTCCAGTGCCAGTAAGTTTTTTAATTACGTGTAATTTGTATTAGTAATTCACTATTGCTTTTTAACATTTTAAGAGACCTTGTATGTAACTTCGCAAAGACATGTGACGTCATCAACATTCATTACCACAACGTGGTTTTAATCGTGGTGCATCCCTAGTAGAACACTCTGTATATTGAAGGAACTGTAATAAATCGAATAAGTATGAATACAGCAAGTTTACAGACGTCCGGACTTCAGTGTCTTTAATCTTTTTTGTTTCGTAGATTCCCGAGAAGAACAAGCGAGAAATAGCAGAATGTGAGAAATTACTTCAAAAGCATATAGAGAATAAAGAAAACTCCGAAAAAGAATTAGAAGCTGTTATGGCGGGAGTTAGGTGAGCCTTTTTGAAATTATTATTTAACGTGTCAATGTTGAGATAAAATGTGATATTATGACGCTACCGTAATAGAAATTCATTAAAAAAACACACTGTAAAAGCGAACCGTAGAGGGACTATAAGGCTTACACCCAGCATTGGGTAAAGTCGGGCTGTGTTGTAGAAGCAAAAGTTCTAAGTCACATTTAAATTTCATGACCATAGTATGGCGTATGTATTTTAAAGAACTTTCTGCTATTATGTACACGAAATATATGTATAATATATATAATAATGTCCAAAATCGACGAGAGCCCCATCATTTCGGAAACGTAGAACTAATTTGTGTATAAGTTTAATTTTGATACCTTAAGGCCCGACGCCCATAGGCGGGTCGGTATGGCAAGGGATACTTCGTCATCCCTACATGGAAGCGCACACTGACGGCAAATATGCAGCAATATCCTTAGGCATGCTAAAGTGTACTGTCGCGGTATCGTGCTCGCCCCTAACCTCTATTCAGATCAATCTTAAAAGCCTGCCGAAGCATCCCAACGGCTACCGAGGCATTCCCGAAGCTGCCGGCTCGGTATCCCTAAACTTACCGCAACTTTGATATCATTGAAATTTCAACTATAATGTCATAACGTTGAGATATATTACTATTCTAAACTTACTATATACTTAAAAATCCTCTGCCGTGCCGTCCCGTCAGTGGGCACCAGGCCTTACTCTGTTTACCTGTTTCATTTCATAGAATATCTTTCCCATGTATTCATTTCGTCGAAATAAAATTTATTTATTAAAATCTACATTTGACGCATATAGTTTGATTTTAAGTTTGTATAATTGGTAACTTTTAATGGCCAATTCGTGCTATTCTGCGAAATGAAATAATTCATTAAGCTGTTTTGGGAATTGAAATTATTAAATATATTTTACAGATCAAAAACACAAGGTCTTCAAGAACAGAAGGACCGTATTCAAGCCAGGCTAATGGACTTTAAGAGGACAGTTGAAGAAGCGAAAAAAGATTATAACTTGGCTGAATCGCAACTTAAAATTTACTTAAGTGTCGAAACAAAGGAAACTGAGAAGTTGCGGAAGATGAAGGAAGCTTACGAAAAAGCGGCGCAGGATTTGATATCAAAGAAAACGTAAGTATTACTTTACTATTATGAAGTTATCAACGATATCGTTGGGGATAGTGCAATTTCGTGTAACTAGCGTTTGATTAAGTTTCCATTTTGGTAATTTAGTGACCAAATCAAATATAGTAAATGTCGTGGCAACGTGGTGATTTACGGGAATCTATTGTTATCAGTCCATAGACAACATAAATTAATGTTTGCTGTGCAAAAATAAAAGTCGTAACTATTGAAATACCAAAGTAATAACGTTAAATACCTTTTTTGTAGTAATTTAGTTTAGTGCATTTAGCTTAGTTAGTTTAGTTTAGTGCTTTTTACCAATACTACATACGCAGATTTGCACTATTCCCGACGATATATCAACGAGATAAGGATGGAGTGTTTATGAATTTTATTTAATTTATTATGGTAACTTTAATTCAATTTGATTGCAGTCTGCAAGAAGAATTGGAGTCGTCAGTACCAACGAACGAGAGACAATTGAATGAATTACAATCTCGACTACAAGCCATAAAGAGAGAAGAGTCTAGCGTTTCTTCTGATTCAAGATCCTTGAGGTAACTGACAGGTTATGTATATATATACAGGAATTTTTAAGAACTACTGTTTTTTAAAAACAACACTGATATGAAAGGTGTAAAAGTAACTTATTGAATAAAAACGCACTATGAAATTTAAATCCCACCAATCACAATTGTATTTCATCAACTGAAATGCAGCTCGAAATTCAAATTGACCAATAACATTCCATGTTCAGAGATAATAGAGCAGTTTAAAATTTGTAATGCATTTTTAACCAATGTTGATGTACAGAGCGCAACTAGAAGAATCGAGACAAGCGATGAGTGCTAACAAATCCCGTGGAAGAGTACTCGATGCTCTTATGAAGGAGAAACGGAATGGAAACATACCCGGCATTTTTGGAAGATTGGTATGTCCTTAATTTAAATTATAAAATAGTAGCCGCTTTCTAATCAAATAAATATTAGACAACGTCGCATACGTTGCTTTGATTCCAAAGTAAATAACTAAAGCACATGTGTTATGGGAATCGGAAACAACGACGGTATCACAAACACCCAGACCCGAGACAATATAGAAAAGTAAGTTTTCTACAGTGACACGACTGGGGATCGAACACGGGACCTCAGAGACGGCGACACCATGAACACCGGTGTGCAAGGCACTCGATCCCTGAGGCCGTCAGTCAGTATTTACTATGTTTTGAAAGCGAAGTTTTATATTACATGGCTATCTCTAAAGTCGCGCTATGCAGTCCGATGTATCATTGCCGCTGTCTGCCTTTTAAAAAAATATAATTTAATGTTAAGAAGCTAAGTTACACATTGCATGACCCGTGGCAAGATGCTGACGACAGAATGCAACTCGCAGTTTTACTCTTTTGTTATTTTGCATTCAAAGAAATGTAAACTTTGTTTTGTAGAGAATATATTTTATATTTAATTACATTTGCAAAATACGCGCGATGCCGCTCGCTGAATATTCCATTTCGTTTTTGTTTTAAGAAATGTAATCTTATAGGAAATAAAGTTTATGTTGCATTGCATGTTTTAATGCAGCGCGTTGCGTCGTTGCTTCATTGTGGGACGACACTTACACTGGTACTTATAATACTTGCAGAGACTACCGGTACTTACAATACTTACAAACTTACTGATTTGTGATCAAAACAATTTGTGTGATTCTCTGGCATACTTAGTGATGGTTTGATTTAGGGCTTTTATATATTCCGAGTGGCAGTGACGCGCCTGCTCAAAACTTCTTTTCCTTTACATCACGTTAAAACATGTGAGAAGGAGACATCATGAGTCGCCGTTTCTGTCTCTGTATAAAATGTAACTCTGAGTTTTGTATATATTTTTAGGGAGATTTAGGAGGTATAGATACAAAATATGACGTCGCAATATCGACGTGTTGCGGCGCTCTAGACAACATTGTAGTGGACACAGTGGAAACTGCCCAAGCATGCGTGGAACATCTAAAACGTCATGACATAGGGCGCGCTACCTTCATAGCTCTGAATAAACAAGAGCACTTGAAACAGCAATATGAAATGCGGATTACTTAGTAAGTTTATTTTTTTATAACATCAAGTGACGGCACGTAACAAGTCGTGTGCCTGATGGTAAGCTAGACGCCTGTTCATAACAGTTACAGTGCCACTCAGAGCGTTAAATTGCAAAGATCTGAGGGGCAACACCACTCCGCCCTTCACCCTGAGACGACAAGTCCCTTGTGCTTGTAATTTCACCAGCACCCTTACCCTTCAAAACCGGAACACAGTAATTTTCACATTACTGCTTGGCGGCAGAAATAGGTAAGGTGGCAGTACTACCCTGGACGAACTCTTTCACAAGGAGCTCTACTGCTACTAAAGTTGTAGTATCTTAGTATCTTCAACGTGAAAATCGTTATCTCAAACATCTTAAATTGCACATTTGATTGCAAGTTCGGAAAATGAAATTCGACTGATAACAATGAAAGCGTGCCTTAAATTATCATAGTATGAATTATTGTCTGCCTGTATATACTTACACTGGTCACAAGCCTTCTTTAAGGAAATGATACTAGTCGTAAGTGTGCGTTCGTGCGTGGTATACCCTCGCTTAGAAGATGCATGTTCATTTGGAAGTGAATAAATAAATACCAGACCTGGCATTCACATACTGTCTTCTTTATTGCGGGGTACGCTACGATGGCCGTTTTCACGTTTGTCCGCTCATCAAGTTTCGTATTAATTCATAACTACGTTGAAGGAGCTAATTGATGTGCATTGTTGTCAATAGTGACGTGCAGTAAAATTTATGGATGTATAATTTTACGACACAGCTCAGCATTTGGTTTTCGAAATTCGAAATTTTAACAAAGAAATCTAATACGTACTAATTTAAAACATACTTTTTTTCATTTCAGTCCTGAAAACGTACCCCGCCTCTTCGACCTGGTAAAAATAAAAGATGAAAGGGTATTACCAGCTTTCTACTTTGCATTAAGAGATACTCTGGTAGCGAACGACCTGGACCAAGCCTCCAGGATCGCTTATGGAGCTACAAGATACAGGGTGGTCACGTTGAAAGGAGACGTAATTGAAATTGCAGGTGAGTAACTTTGTATCACAGAGGAGGTACAATAAATAAATCATCGTCTTACTTAAGAGCCAGGCTCTTATCGGTATAGCGTCCTCCTCTTCGATAAATAAATATTAAATATTAGACAACGTCACATATGTTTTGCTTTGATCCCAAAGTAACTAAAGCATTTGTGTTATGGATTTTTTTTTATACAAATGTAAGTGCACATTTGACCTCCATCTCACCCGATGGAAAGAGACAATGAGGTCGACAAGTAAATAATGCCTATTTACTCTCGCCTTGAAAAGGTCCAAGTTATAACGTTCATGTAACAAGTCTGCTGGCAGGGAATTCTACTCCAAAGCCGTTCGCCATATAAATGTGGAAGCGTAACGTTTCGTGCGGATCTTAGGAATATCCACAGCATAGGAATGGAACCCAACGTCTAGTCCCCCTGTGATGGAAAGGCGGAATTAAATCTTGTAATTCCATCGCACACTCTCCGTGATATATACTGTAAAATACCGATAAGCAGTTAACTTTATGGCGGTGTTCAAGGCTGCAGTTTCGTTTCCACTAATTTCGGAATTCCGAGATCTCAAGATCGAAAGATAAAATCGGAAACAACGGCGGTACCACAAACACTCAAACCCGAGACAATATAGATAAGGTGGTTTCTACATTGACCCGTCCGGGAATCTAACCCAGTACCTCAGAGATGGCGACGAGACGCCATAAAAACCGGTGTGCAAATGGCTTATTTGAACACGTAGGTCATCAATATTGCATACAATAGAGTAGCAATGACAGATTATTCCATTTCCTAACTAAGGCTGTTTGATCTATCGATAATAAATTTCAAGCTTGTTATTCAGTCATTGATTCGATTTTTGTAAATTTTTCTGAGAATATAGAATTTATTTAATGAGATTTTTTTTGCGAAATAACTCCACTAGTTTTGTTATGATTATGAACACAAAGATCGAACGTACAGAAAAAAATTCGTCGACCCGGTGGGACTTAAACCCACGACCATGCTGCACCGTAACATTGCTCTAATAATCTGAGCCACGAGTCCAGGTACCGAGTCGTCGAAATTCTTCTATATGTTTTTGTTATAGATCTTTATACTGACTTTCGGCGTTCGTCGCCACTAGTGACATCTAGTGGGAGATTTTTGAATAATTTATTTTAATTTGCTCCCGAAAGACGTAAGCTCTTTTTTTTTTAAAACTCGCACAGTATGCAGTACTTTTTATAAGAGACATTTATTTCCTGTTCTAATAACGGAATTCCCTAATCCTTGTAACCGCGTTTAATAACCTTCTCGAGTGCTGCAGACATCTTTTAGATAAAGCATATTTATGGCCCTCTTAGTAAAAAATAATAATAATATAAAAGTGCAATGATATCTATGTAATAATAAATTGAAGTTTTTGTAAAAGCGCGATTGAATTTGTTTATAGTGTTTTGTGAGACCGCAGACTGCCACGCAAATACTCAAGGATATCCAGATTTCCAGAGGTCTGTGGACTGACGGTTAAACACTGAATTAAATTTTAAAATCAATTATACTGTTGAAGAATGGTATAAATAGATATTACCCCTGCACAGTGACATTTGCAACACATATGTATAATAACATATGTATTTATCAAGTTTAAAATTATGGAAAAAAGTGGACAGCCAATATTGTTGTTTTTAACACGTTCTGATGTCTATTAAACCTTAAGACGGCGCTACTTATTCACTAAAATTGTCGAGAAAATGATAGTTAACTGTCTTATGGCTGCAGGCAGTAAATATATTTCGATATCACACGAAGCTTGTATAATTAATTAGTTTGTATATTTATTTTATTATAACGTGTATCTTTTGTTAAATCTGAACAGGATGCTCATCAATAAGTAATAGATAATAGTAGCTATTTTCAACGCAATTAAATAATTAACTGTTCTACTAATAACTGTTCAGGTTCAATGACTGGCGGCGGAAAAACAACAATGCGCGGCCGAATGTCGAGTTCGGTGCAGCAAGACACTAGCGAGCAAGACCCCGCGGCTGTACAGGCCAATGAAAGGAAGTTGGCGGCTTTAGAACAGAGGTATGTATCATGAAGATTTGTGTGTGTAATGATACCAAATGACGGGACGAACAAGTCGTCTTACCTGGTGGTAAGCGATGTACATGGCAGTGCCACTCAGAGAACTTTACGTCGCAAAGATTTGAGCATCACTGACACTGCAGTCGTCACCTTGAGACATAACGTTGATAAGTCCCATGTGCATGTAATATCACCAGCACTCTTACCCTTCAAAACCGGAACACGGTAATGCTCTATTGCTTAGCGGGAGAAATTGGTAATGTGGCTGTACTTGCCTGGGCGAACTCTTTCACAGGTTCTACTGATGCTGAAACAATTTCATTAGCCCACAGGTGAAGCATTTTGGGCGTTACTTCAAGAGATCCCGTGTTAGATTTCCGGTTAAGTCAAAATAGGAAACAATTAGAGAACCAATCTCGCATCAAAATCTTGATCCCGCAAGCTTGCGGGATTAATGCGGGGCTGTAAAAAAATCATATTTTTTGTTCTAAATAGTTATGTTCGTGCATTTATGAAGTGTTGTATGCAATAAAAGACAATTAGATTGAAAAAAATATTCCTCATTACTTTTATAACGTAACTTATTTGATAATATTTCCGAAGAGATGACAAAGTATTTTAAGCGGGATCTTATTTTTTGTCCGGCCATGAAATATACTAAATTAGTATTCAGTATAGGCCATACGCTTCACGGCAAAACAACATTACGAGTTCCAGGATAAAATTGATTTTCGCCTGTTAATGAACGACGTCTGGGTAGCGATGAAAGAGACTCAGTCTTTTAAGGCGTTTTATAACGACTCGACTCCATTTTACAGGACTCGACTCTAAAATTAAGACTAAAGGTTCGAGTTTTTATAAATAAGACTCATACTAAAAGACTTAATTGACTTGAACGACTCGAGTTGTTTGCAATGGACTTATACCTACCACTGGCTACCTTATTAGTTAGTTTTTTTTTTTTTGTTAGTTAGATGGACATTTTATTTCGATGTTAAAGACGTTAGTATCGTAGCTACACACTAACAGGGTACATGTGATGTAAATTTTATTATATACTTTACATGTTATTAATTGTAATCATAAAATATTGCACACCCGGTATGAACTGTTGTACTCAAACTACGCGTAACATCTTTTTTACCAGTTCAAACAATAGATATTTCTGATTTTGATGTTTGTTAATGAATAAATACTGAAATACATTACAGGCTCACAGAACTGCGCAGTGAGCAAGCGGGCCTAGAAGATCAAATAGTTACACTTCAAAGACAAACTCGGGAAGGGAAAACGACACTGCATAAACTCAACGTCGAACTCCGGAGCTTGACTGAGCAAGTGCCTGTTTTGGAGGTAATTATTGAATGTTTTCTTCTGTGACACCCTCGAGAATAAGACGAGAATTGTACAGTTCAAGTCAAATATGTAAAAGTTGGCAAGTTAAAGATACTGATTGTAATGAATATTATGATATTCAGACACAAAACATCATAATATTCAGTGCAATCAGTATTATTAGAAATTATAAAGCGACATCTCTTCTCAACCTGTGGTAGCTGTGAAGGTACCTGGTTGAGCGAAGAAAAACTTTCATAGATTGCGCTACTGCAAAAAATCCATTAAAACCAAAAACAATTATCTGTAACAAACGCATTCAGATAGAAAGATTCGTAAGGTCTGACTCGATCTATAGCTCAGTTGGTAGAGCTGTCGCCCTGTTTAGGCACTGACGCAAGTTCGAGTTCTGTCAGATCGAAGGAATTTTTTTTTTGTTTTATCTTTGTATTAGTAATTAAGTTAAAGAATTAAGTTTTACGGCGTCGACGACTTTGCTCGTTTCGTTTTCATGTGGCGTTACCATTGTCCCTTTTTTCTACAAAACACGCTCCGAGTACACATGTACACGTGAAAGATCGATGCCACACAGGCGCTGCCGTTGCAACGCCATGATTTCGACGCACCGAGTGCCACACGTGCTCGTGTGCAACGTAACGTTGCATAAATACGCACTGCAGCACTCCTCCCCGTTTTGACTTCTGGCCCTTTGTCCGATGAACACGCGTTTCGTCGCCGTGCGCGGTTTTAACGTACCATTTGGCATGTAGTTCTAACTCATGTGGGAAGCGGTGGTTGCAGAATCAAAAAAAATCTTTTATGGAATACTTATACATTTATTTAATACCTATTAAATTTATTTCGTCGAAAACACTAAAACACTTTACAGTCCTGAGCTCCATCATATTCTATCCTAACAACCAATCACTGTACAGTAAAAATTATATTATGTTGTCTCTTTCACGCGTCGCGCTCACATCATTAGCTCACATTCCATTCCTACATTTATACCTATATAGTACAACGAAGCGTCACCGCTGAGGTGTCACGTCTAACATTAATGAACAAATGTTGCTTTGTGTGAAAAAACTAAATAGTTTCATTTCCAATAGCAGATATTGGATATAATTTTATATAATTTTTCAGAACCAAATAACGCAACAAGAGCAACGCGCAGCGGCAAGCAAGGTCGACCCACAGCAGAAAGCAAACATGGAAGCAACGCTGAAAGAGGCTGAAGAGAAGTTGGACAAAGCCAAGCATGATGCTGGAGAGGTACAGTGATGCATAATAAAATATATTTAACTAAATTATAAAGTTATTATTATTGATACAAAAGTCTGGACTCGTACCAGCGCCTGTTGCCTCAACGGGGCTACTATGAATATAATGGTGGTAAAAACGTAATGAAATCTAACAAAAATAAATTGTTAAATCATAACGTGCTGATGACAACAAACTTTAAAAAAAACAACTAACAGTTTCTTGCCTTTGCCTTTTTAGGTAGAAAAAGAAGTACGCGGCGTTGACGCCCAAATAGCAGCCGTAGCCGGCGGCAAAGTCAAGGACCTGCAAAAAATAGTTGACGAACTCACAAAGAAGATCAACAAAGTCTCTACAGAGATAACCAAGCTCAAAGTTGCTATTAACACTAGTGTTCGGTAAGTATATATTATTCATCCTCATCCAGTGTCCACAGAGCAAATCGTTGGGCCACTGAGGTCATCTATGGTCGTATTAAACTTTACTTAACTTTATGGCACTTGCAGTAAGAACTGACTAAATGCTCTTAACTATACTGTGCCATGACGCAGGTGAAAGGATGTTAAGTATCACCGCTGCGCCATGGTGGTATAAGGTAGAAATAATTGAGTCTTTGGTTTGGTTATTTATACTTATTTGGTACGAGCGTCTTTATGCTGACTTATAGTGTATGGTCGTTAGTTTTGCTTGCACTAAGACGTGCCTGAATATCGGAAGAGGGTTTGACAGTATGGCACGTCTGGTGACGGCAACTGTAAAAATTAGTGTCCAAAGGCGATCTTATTTCTTATTAAGCGATTTACAATTTCAAAAAACATCGAAATCCATGGGTTCGCCGAGGACCGAACCCGGGACGTCAGAGATGGCGACACCATGAAAACCGGTGTGCAGGTCACTCGACCACGGAAGTTGTCGAAAGCCTTACTTTCTTTGTGTTCCAATAATAATAGTGATAACAAAATTTTTTGCTGTAATTATTAATACAAAGATTGAACACAAAGAAAAATTCCGACAGATTCGAATCTGCGACCTCGGGAATACCATCCCCTCGCTCTTCCAACTGAGCTACAGGTCGAGTTAGCATGTCGACAAAATTCTCCTGTGTCTGTTATAGATTTTTGTATTGAGTTTTTTCGGCTTTGGACGCTGTCGTATAAAAAATCAATAATATAATAATATTATAATTTTACTCTAAAAAGGAATGCAAAAAAATCAAAAGACACAATCAACCAAATGGACACGGATCTCCGAAACACACAGCAGAACTTGGAAAGCTTAAATGAGCAGAAAAAACAACTCACTTTGGACACAGCTCAACACCAGAAACTCATTGAAGAGGTAACGCGTATTAAATAGTTATTACTAATAAGCAAAGTATATTTATCTAAACTTAAAGGAAGTAATACATACCCACGTAAACCTCCCTCTGAAATTGATATCTATTGTCTATACTATAAGGGTTTAGGTAATTAACTACACTCCGTCCAACCATTTATTTAATTTTTGACAGCTCGAATTCTCATCAGTTAGTGATGCCCTAATGCGTTTCCGATTCGATTTTTTTATGACAATCGAATTTATTTATGAAGAAGTTTTAGTCGTGAACGTGAGCGGGTTCAAAAAAGAAGATATTGTCTGATTGGCATCGTGATGTTGCGTTTGATAATTTGTGTACTCAAGAATTAATAATTAATGTTAATGAGGTTTCAAGTGATGATTCCAGTTCATATGGAGAAGAATCCGACGATACATTATAATAAACAATAAGGATTTATTATAATTTATTTAATTTCATATTTATTATTATTAGGCAGGTAACAGAATTTATCAACTTGAATAATCATCATTACATAAGCTGTTGGCTCGATAAACATCGGAGCTAAAGAGCACGTCGCTTCACAAAAATAAAAGAGTCCAGGAAGTGTTGCCTTTTTTGTCTATGGTTGTATGTCAATAATTATGGAACTTTGGAGGCATGCATATGTCAAAACTTTAACAAACGGGTAGACGGAGTATTAAGTAACAAACTTCGGTTGTCACTTGCAAGCAAAGCAAACGTAGTTGTAATGTAGTCAGGTTAACCGGTAAAATAAAATATTTAGGTAGGGAGTTTCAAACGTAATATTACTGCCGTACTCTCATTTTGTCGTACGTTGTGCTGCTGTGTATCGTTTTAAAGTTTGTGGTGAAAACCTTAAAAATCATATATTTTGATAAGAGGATAACTCTATGGCATTGATGTTTTTGGATTTTCCAATCCTAAGTATTGGATGTCCATCCGTGTTCATGAAAATGAACACTTTGCGTTCTACTAACATAGTTGTAAGAACTTACTAACATCATAAGGACATGTAACTGTACCTACTGTCTGAAATAAAATTGTTTCATTTTATTTCATTTCAAAGAGCAAGAGACGCGAAGATTATGTTATACACTCTTCTTGGCGAGGAAACCGCCTTCCAAACGACTAGTACTCAAGTGTAATTTGCCTACATATACCGTGTCAAACCAATAGACTGTAATATCAAAAACAGCATTTTGAAAAAATACAGCGGAAAGCATTTTTGTGATTTTGTCATTTTTCAGGTTAACAACTTCAAACTTTAGCTTTAACCTTGTAAAACCCCAAAATCAAAAATGTACGTAATGTGCGACGTGATTCATACCCAGACAATATTATTCCTATGATCACATAAACGCCCAGTGTACATTATAATGAAAATATAGTATTTAAATTTAGCGCTATAAAGGGTTATTTTTAAAATTCTAACAACTTTGCAAGACTAGATAACTAACATCATAAATAATAACTTTTGGTCCACGACGTTTGACAAAACAATAAATTGACCAAAAATTAAGTTTAAAATTTTTGTCCGATGTGTAGTAAGGCAGCCAATTCAAACGTGCAAGCGTTCCCCAAGGGCTCCTATCCCCGTCATGCGTTTTCACAGAGTTAACACCGTTTCGAGCGATCTATTTAGATGTTTTTATTTTTGTATGAAAGTAAAATCAGATGAATTACTAAAAGTCATGGAACAAAACTTGTTGTTAAGTTAGTAATATATAGTCCTGCAAGGTCGTTAGTGTTTTACAAATAACACTGTATATTCTATAAAGTCAATGACGAACATAGACTGTCTAGAAAAGCTTGGACCTGAAGCATGTAAATTATATACATTTTATTGTGCGTTTTGCGCTTTTTTCATTGTAATTTGCTGGGTCTAGAGGATTAAACGGCAACACTAAACAGTGAAAATATTGACACCAACCTTACGCGGTTTTATTGGTCTGATATATACATATATAACAAGCACATAGAAAAATTCGTGAGGTCCGCTGGAACGTTCCGTGGCTTAGTTGGCAAAGCGTTTGACACGGTTTGCTAGAAGACATCGGTTCGATTTCGGCCGGATCGAAGGAATTTTTTCTAAGTGGTCGATCTTTGTTATTAATAATTATAACAAACTAGTGGACCAATTTCACAAAATGTAATTGAATATCATGGTAGTAAAACATTATGACATTCAATAAAAACTTGAAAATTTCAATGGTCTGATATATATTGAATTAAATTAAAAATATTTTTTGAAGCTCGAAGAAGGAATAAACGAAGGTGCAGACGAGTTCACAGATTTAAGGGCGGAAATAGCCAGACTGCAAGACAAGGAGGACCAGATAAAAAGCGAACGCGTCGACGCACAAAACGTTTACAACTCTAAGGAAAAGAATTTAAATGATGCTCAAGCCAGTAAACCTTCGTGGGAAAATGAGGTAAGTAGTAATATACGACCTACTCTTTCACACAGGTCTCCTCCGTTGGTAGTTTATGGTAGCCAAAGAGTCTTATACATTCGATATTAAATTTCCCTCGGGTTGTCTCCTTTTAACGTGGAAATAAGTGTTAATTCATGCCCTTGGTAATAAAGCCAAATGTTATCATATGTCAAAAATGATTATATCACATGGAAGTCATACACATAATACAGACTACATGAAATAAATTATGCTTATATGAAGAAATTTTATGACTATAATTTTTGTCAGAGCAAGCGAGACTAAATCTCGCAAGATAACACAAGCTCTGATTGGCCGAGAGCACCCGAGGCGCATTGACTGGACAGGTTAGGTGTGGGAGACACCGTACCGACATGATTCCGATTCGCATTCAGATTAAGATTTAAGCTTGTAAGTCATAAGTTTCATGTACGAGTATCCAACAAACTAGGTAAAAGTTTACCGAGTTCGATAAAACAAGATTGCAATTTAATAAGTTTTAATCTTTAAGAATAAAAAAGTTATCGACTAATTTCGTTCGTACAAACTTGAAACTTTTCTCGTGAATAGTTATCATTTTGTAGAATGGCCTTGTTACACCAACTGTGCGAATTAATAAAAATACTTATGGCGCACCATACCTGGTGTAATGTGCTCAGCTTAGCGTGCATCTAGTAGGAGGTATTAAGACACTATTTTTGAATTTCTAAACATTTTCTCAAAAATATGATGACTAGAAAATTTCGACCGATTCTTGTAATAGTGACAATTTAATGTCGAAATTTTGAGAATTTTTCAAAAACGGCACGGAAGTTCTTATTCATCACACTTACACGTAAATAGTGCCCACATTATGCCCCAAATAAAAACATCGAGCCTTTTTTCTTTAAATAATTCGATTTCAATAAACCTTGCCAAATAGATGTGATTCCACAAACTTTTGATGTTTTTTTTATACAAAAGTTACAATTACAAATTAGTAGAAAAGGTATATAAAGTGATTTTTAATTGATTTATTTTGCCTACAGTTACTTGCTTTACATTTGGAAGAGCCAGGTTACGATAATTTGCCTGGTTACGTTATACACGAGCCCCTGCGAACGTTGACAAACGATGAACTGGAAGAATTCACTCTGGATGAAATTAGGAACATAGCGGCTGCGCACAGAGCTCGTTTTGGTGAACAGAAACCTAATTACAGGACTATTCAGGTGAGATGTAAATAAACTTAGCCTTTATGCCTGGTTTACACGTATTAAGTGATGAAGTAGAGAAACAAAAACAGCTCTGATGGCGGAAGTTTTTCATAGTACAGAGTTCAAGACGGAACATTATTTTTAAATTTACTGGTGTTTTTTTGATGTGTTGTAAGCCATGAATAAATATTTTTCTATTCTATACTTCTAAGTAATTAAAGAAGTTTTAACTTAATTTTAAGTAATCTAACGTTTACACGTGGTTTAGTTAGCTATAAGTTCTTTGAAAGTTTTTAACCCATTAATTGATTCAAATTTAAGGCACGTCAACCGGCAAATGCGCGGGGCGCGGGAGGGTGGTGGGCTATTTTGTGAAAAAATAGTTTTGATTCTAATCTATTTATCCGTCCATGATTACTTAACAGCTGGTTGATTGTTTAAACGACAGTTTTACTTATATTTCTTTGAGCTCAAACAACGACAACATACCTTTCTCTATTTTTCTCACTTTGTCCTTTAAAATCACATTTTTCAGTATTTTTCACTTTGTCGCGTAACCGATTATAACCTAATTATAGGAATACAAAGCTAAAGAAGAGTTGTATTTGCGACGAGCAGCCGAATTAGATGAAATAACGACCAGGAGAAATGATATGAGGACGCTCTATGATCAATTGAAGAAGAAACGAACTACTGACTTCTTGTGCGGTAAGCTAGAAATAAATCTGTTTGCTTCCTACGATAGCCAAAATACTATTTGTATCTCAAAATCACAATAAATACACAATATACATGTACAGTAGTAATAATAACTTAAAATTTCGAAGAGTATTGTTTGTGCGCGACAAATTAGCCCTCGTAACATGCTACCGCGACAAAATTATTATATCCAAATTTAGCTGTCAAATTTGGGTGATAAAACCGCCATTTAGAAACTTTATTACAATAGCGAACACATTTTTGTCGCACCGAACGCGCCACGATCAATGGCTGCGACAGTATATTGCAGTGCCGGACATGGCCGCAAGGTCACAGTTCATTGTAAAAGATTTTGACAGTTCCGCGCGGTAATTTTAAGGTAGATATTGAGCGCTGCAAACGAGATAAACGGAAATAATAAAAAGAAACAGGTTGTTATGTTTTAATTATGGAGGAAGGTTAGGAGAACATTTTTAATACAGTTCCTATACGTAGGAATAATTTGAAATACGTAAATAATGCTATGTAAAATTGTCTAGTAGGTGTTTCGGCGAAAATGCCGAGAGGATAAGAAGAACGAGGTCTTAGACAATTGACATTGACGAGTTCGTAGTGTGAAATGCAATTATAACATAGGCCAAGATTTTCACAAAGACTGTGTGATTTTTGCAAATTTTGAAAGATTTCCTTCGGTTTTATTATTTATTTATTCAGGGCTATGAAGCCATCAGCTTAAACAAGTCCGTCGTTTCACAACGATGCCATTAAAACGATTATAAATTTCGCGGCGATGATTAATCGTCGAAAATACTTGTAGCTATACATGCTACTAACAATAGTTCATTATCAAATAAACAAAGGAACGAACTACTCTAGTGCGGTATTCACCGATTCAGTATTCGAAATAAAAAACATACGTTACTCTTAATCAACTGCGATAAATATTAATATAGGTTCGTATATGACAGTGTGAAATGCAAAAATTGATAAATAGTCGCGCTTAGTGCGTGTTGATAAGTTTTATCACATATCGCATTCGATATAACGCCAAGCTACGGCTGCTAACATGCAATTTTAATTTCATAAACTTTCATTCACATTTCTGAATCAAAATTCTATTGCCCATGGTACTCGCTACTGAACTGAAAAATTTCAGTAGCGAGTACCACCAGTTCTGTACACAGAACTATAATGAATTTCAAGAAAAGAAGTATTTTTTACTGCCTCCTGATTGGTTAAATTAGATTAAAGGTCTTGTAACTGGGTCATAAACCTTTATTAAAAAAATGATCGGTTAATATATACTAGACCACTTCTCTATCTCTGGTTTTTTGTTTTGTGGCGTTTGTTTGACTTTCGCTTGAGTTTTTTTTTCTTTTTTTTTATAACATCAAGTGACAGGACGAACAAGTCGTGCATCTGATGGTAAGCTACATGCCTGTCCGTAACAGTTACAGAGCCACTCAGAGCTTTAAATCGCAAATATCTGAGGGGCACTACCACTGCGCCTGTCACCCTGAGACATAAGTTGACAAGTCCCATGTGCCTGTAATTTTACCAGCACCCTTACCATTCAAAACCGGAACACAGTAATGCTGACATTACTGCTTGGCGGCAGAAATAGGTAAGGTGGCAGGACTACCCTGGACGAACTCTTTCACAAGGAGCTCTACTGCTACTAATTTTTTGTTGTCTTGGATTGTTACCAAAATATACACTCAATATTGGTTGTGTTTCATTATTTTATTTACTCATAGGAAAAGTATTTTATGCAATCATTACATAATTGGAAATTAAAATCTTGTACCTATTACTTAGGCCACTCGGCACTCGGCCAATTAAGTAATCTGTGACTCGGCCTTAAGAACTCTCATTATGCAACGATACGGAAAACACTATTTGATAGGAATTTTGCCATTTTAATGGATTAGTTTTATTATATTTCCACGCCGCTTGTGGGTACAATGCTGGACTTTTGTAAAATTTAGATGTAACATTTAACATTTTTATTGTATGTATGTACATGAGAAATAAATAATATTCTATTCTAAAAGGAATGTAATCTATTTGTGAGGATTGGTTCTCAGTTGCTATTATTATTATTAAATTTCGTTTTTAACTGACTTAAAAAAAAGGACGAGGTTCTCATTCGACTGTGTTTTGTTTTGTATGTATGTTACGCGATTATTTTTTTGTTGGAAAGAGGGTACCTCGGCTGTGGTTCCATTTAAATTTGAAAAAAAATGTGCCACCTCTAAGGGTGGCAAAGTAGGGGATGAATGACTTTTGAGGTCAGTTTTTTAGTACTCTGTACTGAGATTATAAGCTGTTGGTTTTCCTATTAGATAAATAAATAAATAAGTAAAACTTTGAACTGACAAACAAAGATTGGTGTGATACTGTTAATTTGACAATGAACTATGCTTATAATAAAAACAATTAATTTTCAGGTTTTAACACAATAACTACAAAGTTAAAGGAAATGTACCAAATGATTACGTTAGGTGGCGACGCAGAGTTAGAACTTGTAGACTCGTTGGACCCATTCACAGAAGGAATCATTTTCAGGTTAGCTAACACATTGCTGTTGTTCTATATTCCTTACAAATTTCCCCAGTTTGAGAATAAGATAATTTATTTTTGTAGCATTAAATTATAATGGCTATGTACTTGACTAATGACTGTTGAACAAAGAAGCCGTTGTGGCCTAATGGTTTGACCTACCACCTCTTAAGTAGGGGGCGTGGGTTCGAATCCGGGGTCGCATCTCTGACACCCGTATTTATGAAACAAACAAAAGCACTTAACAAAATTCTTCACTAAGATCGACTTGAGTGAAATTTTGCTTAAATGCAACTTGGTGTTGTTTGACATTTATGAACATTTTTTCGCTCGCTCTTATCCAAGGTCAGGCTCAAGTTTTACTTTGGAGCCATTAGCCAATGACAGTACTTGTTTTTCCAAAAATTAAAAGCGAGAATTTTTGAAAATTGTTTTGTAGTCTGTGCGCTTTTGTTTGTGGCAGTAACAACCTTTGCCTTGTCTTCAGCGGGAAGAATAAAAAATTCATCAAACTGTTTTGACCTTATTTGTTAGAAGTATTTAAGTTTCATAAATTAATATTGATTTTTTATATTCGATTTTAAGATATGTTAATTAGTTATTATGGCAGAACTTGCACAAGCGGGAAAATGCTGTTTACAACTGTTTCTTTGGAAAATCTGGAACATGAAAGTGCGACTTAACTCGATCTTGAGACCGAGTTAAGATTGAGCTGAGTCATAAAAATCGTTCATAAATACCAATTATTGACTTAAGTCGCACTTGAGACTTTTTTATGCTTAAGTGGGACTTAACTTTGTTCATAAATACGGGTGTGACTTTCTCGGAATTTATGTGCGAAATTTAATTTGAAATTTAACATGACCTTTTCGGTGAAGGAAAACATCATGATCAAACCTGCAAGTCGAAGAAGGTTCACAACCCTCGGAAAACCTGTGAAGTTCCCAACATGCCCGGGGCCAGAGTGGCGGACTATGGCCCCAGACCCGTGCCCAGCAGTCTTAAACCAATGCTTAAATTGACAAGACATTCTTAACACAATGTCCTAAGATTGTCTTTTGCATTGCAAGCATTGATTTAAGACATACTTTATTTTAATGGCAATAGTCCAAGGAAGTACTGCCACCTTACCCATTTCAGTCGCCAAATTACAGGCACATGGGACTTGTCAACTTATTCTCAGGGTGACGGTCGCAGCGGCAGTGCCTTTCAGATCTTTGCAATATGAAGCTCTGTGTGGCACTGCAACTGTTATGGACAGGCATGTAGCTTACCACCAGGCACACGACTTGCTCGTCCCGTCACTTGATATAAAAAAAAAATACTGCAAGTGGACGTAAGTCCCATAGCTGTTTATTTTTTATTTAACATTATTTATTTGTCGTTGAGATTAATTTTATATATAATTCTTTATTGCACAAAGAAATTATTATTTATTGTAAAAGTGAAGTCTGCGGAACTAATTATTCTACAATAAAATTTAAATTTAAATTTGACTATAAATATATAAATGATGTTAATATACATCAACTTTATATACGTAAATACATACATAAGCAGAATATATATTATAATAACAAATTACTAGTTTATATACGTGTTACCGATTAACTAACAAATGCGTTCGACAGGAAGAGCTCTTTTAATTTGTGTTTGAAAGATGCGACCGATGGACTGTCACGAATATAATAGCAGGTAGTTTATTCCACGTACGAGCTGCGCTAACCGTAAGAGAATTGTGGAAGAACTTGAAGTTGGATTGGGGATATAATAGTGTTCTAGTGTTTTAATGAGTTACTCAAAGCTGTGGATGTAAAATTACTATTTAGAACTAAGGTTCTTTATTATTATTAATATAAAAATATAATAATAATAAGGTTCTTTACATAATAATTACTACTGCAGCCTTTATGTCTGCTAAATTGAATGTAAATTAAAAATAAGGTATTTAAATTAATAACTTCTGTGACTATAGTAAAAATAGAATGGTTGCAAATGTATGTTACACATAACTTGTTGATAACTTTACCATCTCAGTCAGCCGTGACACCTGTAAAGAGCCTGAAAAGTAAGTTTGTAAGAAAAAACAAATATGCGTAACAATTTCGAAAACTTAAACCTCGATGTGTAACCTTATGTAAAATCTATTTACTTTCAGTGTTCGTCCTCCAAACAAATCGTGGAAGAACATATCAAATCTATCCGGTGGCGAGAAGACGTTGTCATCACTGGCTCTGGTGTTCGCGTTACATTACTACAAACCTACGCCGTTGTATGTGATGGATGAAATCGACGCGGCATTGGACTTTAAAAATGTTTCAATTGTCGCTAATTATATCAAGGTTCGTAAAGATTTAATCACATTCTTTATAAAATTTAGGACTTTAACACGAGAGGGAATACGTTTTCTAGGCAAGCCTTCCTTCATCCGTAACTTTGTTATTACCACTATTAGAATTGTCCATTTCTGGTGATGTTGGAAATAATCGCTTCTTAAAACGACGAGTTTTGAAAATGTGTAACTTAACCTGTTTTTCAAGAGTTGTAAACTTGTTTCGACATGCAGGTTTCATAACAGGATCTTACTTTATTTGCCTCCAGTGCTGGTGAGGTGGCTCTCGGCAATCTTCGGATTCCGAATGCACCCGAACACATAACGTCGTTATTTTCTATAAAGGGTGTAAGCGACATTTTGAATTTTTTTAAGGGAGTATGTTTTAGGTTTTAACGACTCTTTTAAAATATTTAGTCTGTTTTCAAATTGAATTTTGGTTTTCCCCGTAAACACTTTTGAAACACCGACAATATTTCCATGTCTAGTAGTTATTACATTTATTATCCATAATATTTCACTTCGGACAGGTACTTTATTGTTATTTTGTGTTGATTACCATGAGAACTATATAGAGCTGTGAAACTTTTCCCTTTGTATGATTACATTTACTAAATTTATATAAAATTAAGTGTTCTATTTAAACAAAATTAAGTGTTCTTCTTTTATATAACTAAAAATGTCTTAAGTCATTTTCCGGTTGTTAATATTGAATTTTCAATTTATGCTATTTGCCCTGCAACTCTATCTTTTAAAGACTTCAGAGTTGAATGCTTGCGTCTGGTCGGCACTGATTGCAAACGGCAACTGAATCCGTTCAGCAGACAGCCAAAACACGAACATTCCCGGGAGATGTTAAGAAAATTGTTATATTGTATGCTTCAGTATCTCTTACCAATTATAATAAAAATCTTGAATGTGCATCTATTTGTTAAATCTACCGCGCAAGCCCTGCAAAGAACTGGGGTTTTTTGGCGAAGTAGTTTATAAGATACGCTGTAAATGCAATGTAATGATTTCTAGACTGAATTCACGACAAAATCGCTTTAAAAAATGCCAAGCCGAAAAGATTCTTGGCGAGGGATTGTAAAGTATAATCTTGAGTGTAGTATTGTTTTACTCCTAAGTGAAACACTCTACTCACCAAAATGTCATAAGATTTTTTGTGGCTTCTCATCCAGGCTTTCCCTCTCTTATTTAATTCACTATTTGCGCAACTCCTGTTTATATTATGCTAAAAGTATTATTTTGTCCCCAGGAACGAACGAAAAACGCCCAATTCATAATAATATCACTCCGTTACAATATGTTCGAAGTATCAAATAGATTGGTCGGTATTTACAAAACCGAGGACTGTACCAAATCTGTTACTATTGAAAATAAGTTACCTGAACCGGTAACGCCTGCTCAGGATATAGAAGTTTAACTACATACAACCGAGCCACTGACGTCAGCAATGGAAACTTATAGGAGTGTGAGGAAAGGGTATAATATAATAATACATAATAATTACACCACACCCGTTTGGGCTTCAAAAAGTTCCTAATAGCGAAGTCGGTAAAAGTTTCATCTCAATGTTTAAAGTATTTTTATATGCGCTCAGAATGAATTGATATTTTGAGATAATGTAAGTTATATGTTATAAAAATGAAATTATTAAGGCCTTGTGCAGGGTAGTGCTGCCAAATTATAAGCAAACATTGATTTGGGCAGTTTTAAACACACCGGGGGGCAATACATTTACATAGGTATAATAGGCGCAATATTATTTGCACCGATTCGTCGTATCACTTGATCTGTAGAGTACAAGTAACGCACTTGCCATCTGTATAGTGCAAACAATTAGTTTAAATACTTTTGCGCGTTGACACTTAATTCTAATATTGGTAATCTTTATACGGAACTAACTTTGTTGTATTAGCAACAAAAGAGTCGGCAGTCGGTATTTGACGAAGTGCCTAGTAGATTAAAAAAAACGACTTGATGAATAAATAATTCATAATCTCAGCACAGAGTACTAAAAAAAACCGACCTCAAAAGTAAGTGGAATTACGTCTCGAAGAAGTGTTAATGGTTTTATTACCCTATTGTGAAAGAAAGGATAAGTCGTTCCAAGAGATAATATTCATCGGTGCAAATAACATTTCTTCAATTATAATATGTTAATTTTCATTCATTAAGCTGTTTATAGACCACAACGCCATTTTATTCCACTGTTTTCATTGTCGCAAATAAGCAAAGATTTAATCTATTTTTATTGATTTTGTAATGATTATAGATATCTCAATATTTTACTTTATAGTCTGTAGGTCAATGATTTTATGCGTAAATTTTAGTAAACGGGATAATCGAAAAAAAGTTTTTTATTGCTGAGGTAATAATATACATAAAAAGCAGCCCCAGTAGGCGAAAATATTGATTTAATTTTGTATGGAAATAAAGTGTGACGATCAGCCTTCATTGTGGCGACTAAAGCAAAAAAATAATATTTTTGATACAAATTTTACGCATCAAAAGTAATCTTGGGCCAACTAACGGTAACGGCTCTTATGCTGTACAAGGCCTAAGGCCGAATAGATGCAAAGGTAACAAATTTACCTTTACATCTATTTTGTCTGATGGTACCGAATATAGGAAATTACTCGAATATCCATTTTCTACCAAAATATTTCTTCACCAGTCTTCCGCCTGTATGGCCTTCATTTGCTATTTCAATATTAGTTTGTTTAATAATTATAACTAACAAACGTTTCCCAGGTTTGCGTATCGTTTGCCAGGTATCTCGCCGTAATCAAGTCAATTTCAGGGTCCAATAGTAACTTGAAGACTTTAGCTCTCTGAAACCGTAGCCCGTTCCTAACAAGGTGGAACGACAAGAGCTGTTTCAGCAAACAACAGTGCGCCTTTATTTGTCCAGAGTCGCAAATATATTATGTCAAAATAACTATACAAGACATCCTATATAATATGAAATTCGGAAAGGTATGTCTAGGAAAATGACAAAAAAACATTGCTTTTGGCTGGTGCCAAATTTAATAAAATTTAATTTAATATGGAAAACTGTACCGAGTTGGAACAATTAAATATCAAACTTAATCAATATTGGCCATGTTAGTTCACAATATTTTGATATTTTTCGGGTAATTTAAAACTTCTGTCATATACATTCCTGTCATAAACATATATAAATGCAGCTGTAACTGTTTTTGATCACGTCTTCGTTATCGAAGTAGAGTCCATTCAAAAAAATTGTAAAGACAAGTGAAATTTTGAAGGGGCTATGTCGAATATGGTGGATGAGGCCTCACATCCCAATCTGACTACATAGTTATAGATGGCTTTTTGTTCAGTGGCATAAACCGTACTGACTTTTGGGCCAAACCATTAAGTAAACTTCTAATTTAATAAATTTTTAATTAAAAATTAATTTTTGTATTTATTTTGTCAGTTTCCCAAAATTTTACTTTTCAAATAGCGACATTTTATTTTTGCGGGGTCAATGAAGCACAGCCCTCTTTACCTTAGGCTCGACATCAACATCGGAAATGAAAGATGTGTTTGAACAAAAAATAGGATTGCTATTTTCACTAAGAAATGATTCTATTGGTTTGATGAAACAACTGTTTTGCTATATAATCACCCTTATTTTGTATTGTTATTCATACTTACACGAGCTTGACCGGTTAGTCGAAAATGGATGCCGAGTAAAAAAATGTGTTTTAACCATTGACTTACAAATAAATGGACGACGGGTCTAATACAAAAACCACGAAAAAAATGTCCCAAGTCAACCTATTCGAAATTTAAATTGTTATGTCATCGCAGTATCGCGCTGTCCGTAGAACAAATGAAGACTAAAGCGGAGTGTCGCGCTCTGTATACGATTTTAGCGCCTTACAAGTGCGGACACTTTTTAGCGCGGACCCGACGTCCATATAATTGTAAGTCAATGGTTTTAACACATATTCATTAAAATAATAAAGAGTTAAGATTGCCATTTGGGCTTGCCTCATCTTGGTGGGCCACGCAATAGACGTTAGATGTAACGTTATAAGAAATGTCACAGACCTATTATTTCCAATTTGATTAAAACAAAAATAAATAAGACACAATTTTGAACATAGTTGTTTTATTTGACCAACTTACGTTGAACCTCGATATACATAAACAAGGTCTTAAATTACAATAAATAAATTATCAAGTAATAAAACATTATAATTAGAATTGTTATTCTTTTTTATTAAGAATACATTGAACATTGCCAAATTATTGTATCACTTTTAGAGATCTATGTAAAGTGAAACGAACACTAGACATACAAAGGAACTATTTCATTAATTAGTCCTAAAAGGATCGCACTTTATCCAAGAACTTGCATGTGATATTTGAAACTTAGTAAATGACAAGTTAGAGCCTAATGTCCCGAACGCCAATTACACACCTTTAGAATAAAAGTGACCCACCACAAACTTTTAGGGATACGTAAAATAAAATTTGAAGTAGTGATATTTTCACATTATTTATTACTCTTGAAGAACTAAAGGCCTTGTTAATAAAAAAAGAAAAACATTCTATTTCATAACCTTAACAGTTGTTTTAACAATTTAAATATAATTTACAAAAACTAGTCTGTATATGGTCACTTTTTTACTGAACTTTTTTATTGTTATTTAACCTAAAAAGAAGTAAGTCTGTTCATTTTCACCACCTAAATAAGGTCTTATGACCTTATCATAAGATTATGCAGTTTTAATTATAGTCTTCTGAATAACAAAGTAAGTTACGCATTTGCAAAAAATTGTGATAATATTCAGAATGAATAGGGCTCAAAATCCCACTTTCGCCAACGGCGGAGACGTGCCGTCTTCGCTGCAAATTCAACACTAATTGCGACGTTTACATACCGACGCGGGAGTGGAATTTCAAACATGAAATAGACCCTTATACTGGGCCAATCGCTCCCGCAATCGCAATTAAAGCTCGAATGGAATTGATTCCAGATTAATAAATATTTATGAACAATAATTTTTAAAGTTGTTATACAGTATAATTTTGTTAATTTTTTTTAATGAGGTCACTTTCATTCTAAAAGTGCGAATTGTCGCCAGCGAGAACTGTCGCTGTAATCTCGTGTTAAAGGCACAAATCGTTTTACTTTCACCACACGCGTCAGAAATTGAGAACTTGATTTCACTATTAATATGCAAACAACTTGCATACTAAAAACACGCTTTTATATCAACAAGTATAAATAACTGTGCTATGGAACTATATTTATATATATTGATATTTGAAACTTTAACGTGAATTTTTAATAAATACACAAAAAATAACACAGGTCTCTATCTCACCAAGTCTCCCCAGTGGCAGTATTTTTCCCGATCTGATAATGGGATCTGCCGTCCTTGTCTATATCTCTCTCGGTCCATCTCAACAAATATGTACGTAATATTATGTACTTTACAAGCGTAGTAAAATATATGTATCCTATATACAATTATGTATAATTTACAATAAAATGCGTGATAGGAAAAGAAAATTCTAGGGATAAGTGAATAAGAGATATTAATTATTTAATACAGAAATCCAACAGGCTGGGTTCGAATCTGTAGACCTTACGAAGTTTTTCAATTCTTTTTGGTTTTTAAACGACTATTGCCGTAGCGCCATCTGTGACAAATTTATTAAAGTTTTTCTTCACTCAGCCAGGTACCTTTACAGGTTTTACAGCGGCTGACTATAATAATATAATACACTTCCGGACACATAATTCGAGCCACCACGCATTTTCAGTATTAAGTGTCCTAAGCTATAACAATGTTTGAATGATCAAAAACTATTATGCAATTTGGAAATTAGTATACTAAACGTCTTTTCCATCAACTCCTTGTTGGGAATTTAGATTTTCAAAACCGGGGAAAACTTTTTCTTCGATCATAACACTATTTTTGTATTCTAGCCCTTTACGACAAAAATACGAGGTGGCTCGAATTACGTGTCCGGGAGTATATTATAGAGATGTAGTTTTAATAATTATAATGTTAAGATCGATCCAATATTGAAGAAATTTTTCTAAGTGTTCGATCTTTGTATTAATAATTATAACAAACTAGACGAGCAATTCCAAAAAAATAATTGAATATCATGATACTAGAACATCGTGATATTCAATAAACTTAATATTAAGGGATACTATAATGGAGTAAAGTGTGTTTAAATAACGAGATACCAAAGTAACGGAATACTATTGGTTGACGATCACAACTTTCCTTCGCCGCTTTGGTATAATATTGCTTGACTGCTGGACTACGAAATTGTGGCGCTAGTGTCATTATTAGGCATCGATGTTCGTGTTGTCAATAGAAGAAATTGATCATCCCTCTCAGGCGAGGGTTTAGGCCAAAATTCGCCACGCTGGCCCAATGTGGGTTGGGGACTTCTTCGACGTGCAGGTTTCATCACGTTTTCCGTCACTGAAAAGCTCTTGGTAAATTTAAAATTAAATTTGGTTCGAGTCCGGATTCGACTCCACAGCCTCTGCTTGAAGGGCGGTAGGTCATACCATTAGGCAACTTCGATAGAAGAAATTAGTTATTTGAAATCATGCAAAATAGCGCAGATCTAGTCGGCTAAAACAAAACAGATGACATTGATATTTTATCTTTCCGGTTCAGTGTTGCCCGTTAAAAGTACTATTTCTACACCTGTCAAATTGGCAACACTGAGCCGAACAGAGAATATCTACGTTACTGGGCAGTTCTTCGCCATACGAAGTTAGCCAGTTCAATAAATGATATGAGAGATACTAAGAACGCGATATGATAGATGTCAAGTTTGGTTTTTAAATCAGAAGTCTAACTTTTCCAGCGTTATAAGCTCGAATATGTCTAATTACACGGAGTCCAAATACATTGTATTAAACTTCAATTTCCTATAACGTATGAAACCCGCTACAACAATTTTATTTATGATGGACGTTTGTAGACTATATTGTGTTGTGTTATTACTTAACACAATGTTAAAATTTATGTCGTACTGTATAATTAAATAATAAAACGGTATTTTACATAGGACAGTTTACAGATGCCTACTAAAAACGGAAGCCATAGATTTAGCGCGTTTACGAATATTTTCGTATTCGTTCCGAATTTAAGACTATATAAATCTAGAAAACTCAGACCCACTTCGGATGTTGCTCGTGCACAAAGTCCAATTCGAGTCCGAGAAAATACAAATATCGTTCACACCTAGAGGTAAAATAATCCCTGTGACATTTTGGACCGTCGTTTCTCGGATTCGGAACATCAGTTCGTATCAACGAATCGGACGTAGTGCACAAACGTGTAGTATGGTCGCATAATTTCCATGTTTACCAATCAGAAATATATTTAGTGAAATAGTGATCTCTGATACCGAAATTCAGCAGTATTTTTTTCGATAAAACCGTTCTTCGGGTCTAAATCACGCATATTTGTTTTTTCACACAAACGTTTCGGGCCCTTTACAAGTCCCATGGTCACGACTGACTGCTTAAAGCTCTGAGTGGCAATGCAACTGTTATGGACAGGCGTGTTACTTACCATCAAGCGCACGACTTGTTCGTCAAGTCACTTGATATTAAAAAACCTACATACAAATAAAATGCTTTATGAAAAAATGCATCTATTTTTGTGACTTACGATAGATTATGTAGGAGTCGATATTAGTGTGAATTATTGATCGATATTGATTTTATTTATAAAAAACATATGTACGCAATTTAGATACAGAAACAATAGTTTTGTTATCAATGTGCATCAATCGCGAACACGATGCTTTCAATCTGAGATCAGTATTTTATGATGGCCCGAACGACTTACAAATTTTGACGTATAAGGGCGCGTTCAAATTAACGCTTATGGAAGCGGCGCGGCAGCCGCGTATCAGTAGCGCTTCAGTAATTTTTACTTCATTAATTGTGACTGCAAAAATGGCGCACGGCGGTCACGACAATGGTACTGCAGCTGCGCTTCTAAATATTGCATGAAAATTAGTAGTGGCTTCAGCGCCAGTGGCGTAACTGCAGCGATTCTATAAGCGTCTAATTTGAAAGCGCCCTTAATGTTATTGACATGACAACATAAAATGGGACATAAATAATACTGATTATATGATAAATATGAGATGAATAAGGCTTTAAAAAACCGAAAAAACCAAATCAAAGATTAACAAAAAACATTAAACATTAGAATTTCGAGGAATTTGTAGGATCTCCTGACTCGACCTGTAGCTCAATGGGCAGAGCATCGCTCTGGTTTAGTGTGGTCACGGGTTCAAGTGCTGTCAGGTTAAAATAATTTTACTTTGTCTTCGATTTTTGTATTATTATAACAAAGTGTAAATAGCGTTTTTTTGTCAAAATTTGTAAGTTCATTCATTCGTGCTGAAGGTGGCATCATGTGGCACTACTGTCAGTTTTGGTTTAGTGTTCACTGCCTAATTTCCGCGTCAATTTTTATCCGAGTATATTATAGTGAAATATTATTGCTTCACCATCATATACTCGAATACTTAAAAATTCAAGGTTCGAAATTAGAAAGATATTTATTTTCTTGATAATTATCATCATTATCATATATAAATTATTCGATATATATCCGATAACTGATTCACAGTTTTGTCTCTTAAATTTTGACTAAAAATTACAAGCAGTGAGAAAACTAAATAAACTCGGATACAAACACATAGCACGACATTGCTAGCGATAGCATTTTATTGTTCCAATTAATTTTATAAATATCGAAATAACTTCGCTTATATTATACAAAATTGCAACGAAACTTAGACAGAGAACAATAATCTGAGAATTAGCCAATCTTGAAATAACTGTCGTGTAATTATTAGCCTAATAATTACACGACAATTATTCCAAGATTTCAATTATAAACACATCCAAAACATATACCTCCTTAGTTTTGTATACCATTATTATGATAAAATTTAAAGTTCCTGCACCAATAACATAACTTCCGGTTTCAGATAGACATCCTTATTCGGACTATTATTAATCTCTTCTATAACCGATGAGTGCCAAGCAAAAGTAAGCACTGTGGCCGGTACTAATCTAAGATCTATAAGGGTCTTATTAGCGTCCTCTTCGAGGAGTAATTTGTGTCCTGTGGGCGTGTTCAAAATGAAAGGTAGGTCGCTATGTTCGAGATTCTCCGCCACGAAGTCGTGGATTTCGTGGTAGCGTTCGTACACGGAGAATGTACCCTGGAAAAGAGATGAATATTATTTTCAGGACATCATGAGACGTAATATAGTTACCGAGTCTATGTCTTTTTCGGCATTCGTCGCCGCTAGTGATATCTAGTCAGTACAAAAATCTATAACAACACGTACGTAAACACGTAGGAGAATTTTGACTCGGTAACCGGACCCGCGGCTCAGATGGTTAGAGTAATGCTACGGTGCAGCATGGACGTGGATTCAAGTTCCACCGGGTCGACGAAATTTTTCTATGTGTTCGATCTATGTATTCATAATCTTAATAAAACAGTTAAAATAAAAAAAAAACATGTCAAAAGGGTCCATGATCCATTTGAGAACTATATAATAATGTAACAACCCTACGCTCCTAGCGACATTCGGCATTGACGCGCCGAACAATCAAGAGTTTGACTACTTATCTCATTATACTTTGGTAATACAGTGTATAAATAGTGCACAGTACACTTTATTTGACCATCTCACCTGCAACAAAATCCCGTCTGGGAAACGTACTCTGATAATAGCGAATTTGTATTTGCGCATTTCTCTTATCTCGTCTTTTTCTCGCATCGCTTTAGTGCGCAGCATTTGACTTTTTTCCAATGCTTCCGTTCTGTAAACAATTAACATTAGACAACGTCACGTACGTTGTTTTAGTCCGAAAGTAGCTAAAGCACTTGTGCACAAACACCCAGACCTAAGGTAATATCGAAAAGTTAGTTTTCTACACTAATCCGGCCGGGGATCGAACCCGGGACCCCAGAGATGGCGACACCATGAAAACCGGTGTGCAAGCCACTCGACCACGGAGGCCGTCAATTAATTCAATTTTAACAACAACAATTAATTAGTTCAATAACAATTAATTTGTTTTTAGACTTTAACCAGGTGTCAATCTAGGGAATTAATAAAAAAATAAATTAGTTCCAAATCCCTGTAATTTCGCCAGCACTGCAATGCTCACATTACTGCTTGGCGGCAGAAATAGGTAGGGTTAGGCAGTACTTCCCTGGAGGAAGTTTTTCCATAGAAGCTCTACTGCTACTATTCTACTTATTATAATAATAAAAACGCATACACTCAACGTAACAACATTAACAATAACAGACAATTACCTTAACTGATGTTCCCTTTTCAGTTCCTCAGGAGTTAGAGCATAGAAAGTAGGTGGCAATTGTACTTTTGTAGCGGCCTGAGAAGGCAGCAACACCTGGAGGTTTCTGTCCAGCTCTAGTTGGATCGGTTCAGCCGTTCGAAGCGCGTCTATTAGTGTCTAAAAATTTAATTTTAACTTATTGTTGATTATCTATTTTGGATTGGCATAAAAGATAATATTGGAATTTTTCATTAAAATTCTGCGGCAATGGCAGTCGCCGGGGTCAGAGATTCAATATCAAGTACCGGCGAACTATACATATACTGCTGCTGCTGCTGCTGCGAGTCTCTGCTAGCTGCCCTATCGAACAGCGTTTTCTGCATTTATATTCTAAAGGCTAACCACATCAATTTGTTAGCGAAACTGGTTGGAATTAACTCGTTTGCAGACAAAAAAATAATTATTAATAATACCGACCTCAAAAGTCATTCATCTCCTAGTTTGCCACTCTTGGAGGTACAATATTTTCTTCAAATTTAAATGGGACCAATACTGGGACCCCCTTTTTAACAAAAAAAATATAATCATCGAAATCTATTCACAAATGTAACATACACATAAAATAATACAGTCAAATTGACGTGACCTTTTTTGAAGTCGATCAAAAAATCCCATAGTTTTGCATAATAATTACCACCGTGTATATACGTTTTTGGGTAATAAATACTTACAACAAGATTATCAGTGTTAGGCACAAGGTCACGGTTGAACACGAGGTAGTCCTCCTCGACGCCGTCAGCGTTGGTGATCTTTTGCTGAGTGAAACCAGCCGCGAATAAAAGCTCCATCGCGCCTTCTATTGGCTGGACGCGTTCCGTAAAGGCTCTGGAAACGTTTTATATACAGCGTTATTTGAAAATACTAGGACTACATTACTAACAACATAAACAATCAGATTTTACTCTCGTATAAAAATAAAGAGGTGGTAAGTCAGTGCGGTAGTAGGGCGGGCGGTCTAGCGTAAATAGTTTCGAGAAAGACGTTTGTTTACTACTTTACTATCAAATACACACCTAAAAAATGTCAGATAGAACAACAAAAAAAGTTAATGATGAGATTGTGATTGAAATTGAGTAAAATTATTACGTTTAGTAAAAAGTAATGGAAATTAAGTTGTTGTTTATGATGTTAGTAACTATAGTCGTGAGAGGTTGTTAGTCCAGAGATTGTAGGTTTACCGACAACGGGTCTCCTTTACCGTTTATTATTTATCGAAGCGTAACGGAGATGGCAAAATAACGAAACATTGTTTATTGTGTTTTGTATGGAAGTAAAATATTTTCGCGAAATATTAAATGGAACATTTGTCAAACATTTGAATATACATGGTTCCTTATGACGTATATCTTCACCTTGCGAAAATGATAATTAGTATAATTTGCGCAGAAGGCTGGAAAAGACATAGTGGTACTTCCTTTCTTTACGAGCTAGTTGCACTGTAAAGTACTTTGTTCAGGTTTTCTTTATTTATACATACCGGCACAATTATAGGCACACTAGTAAAAAGCTCAAAATATTGCAGCCTTTTTTCATCTGTCTGGACGGTTATATTACTCTTTTTACTTGTTATTCCAATTTGAAAATAAACAATTAGCTGGCTGTCAATTGTCTAATTAATTTGTTTTGTTTGTTTCGTACAAATCAATCAGTTTCTGGTCCAGATCCGACAGGATGTGTTTGCCAACAAGTGGCGTGTCTCTCAGCGCCTTAAGTCGCTTTGTAAATTTAAGATAAGTATATTAAGTATATTGCAGTAAATTGTGTAATGTTGTGTGATTTATCTTTTCTTTCTTTGTTTAGTTTTTAAGTATTATTTTGTATCTTATATGTTATATTAAAATTTTACATTATCTTTAAGTTTAAGTCTTGTTGGACGCTTTGGCTTAAGCTGTAAGTCTAAAAGAATGTTGTGTTTATAAATAAATAAATACAGGTTTCTCGTAAATTTCGCGAACGTTATTATATTAAACTAATACTATTTTTCAATTTCCATCTGTCTCTGCTTTGTCACTAAATATAAAGAAAATGCAATTTATTTTAGTTTAGACTTTTTTTTCAACAAAAATTGAGTAGTCTTTACGAAGGCGATGTTAAAAGGTGTTAACATTATTCAAAGTCAAATAAAAATTCTTAGCTCGAACCAATAATTCAAGAGGATTGCAAATCGCGGTACAAAGACAAAGACAGCGTAGTCGGGTATTTAGTACCTATTGGTACACTAGATGTCGCAACACTCGTTGCAACACACGAAATAGTTATTGTTGTAAACAATTGGCAATTTATCAAAGCGACTCTAATTTCTAGTAATAACAAACAAATCAACGGAATAATATGTAACCTAAAACGGAACGGAATCCCACGGGACGGATTTTTATGTAATTTATTGTCTAATGGCTTAACTAAAAGAAATATAATGACAGATCATATTATTATGTCAATATCATTAATGTTACAATCTAAAATATATTCAAAGAAGAAAGTCTGTTAGACAAAGTATTTAAAAAGATATGAAAAAATGTTGAAGATTTGGCTTGATGGATTTATTGCGATGCCGTGAAACTAATATTAAAAAAAATGTAAATAACCAATTGTAGGATCTCCGGCTATCTTATCGCACATAGTCACACCAACTTAAAAGTATCTTTTTCAACCCTGACATTGGCAGAATCATCGTGAAAATCGATGGAGCCACATTAAAGAAATTGTAATCAAGTTTTTGAATATTTTAGCGTTTAAGCTGCTAATTATTCAAACATGTCTATCACACTTTTGTATTAAATCATTTTTTTTAATGCACGTCACAATATTCATTTTTAATTTTATTATTCTGCTACAGTCCATTTGTTTAGGCAACTAAATGTAAAAATCTTGAAATGTCTATTTACTGAAATATACATTTATAAAATTATTTTTACTTACCTTCAAATATAAATATTTAGCTTCATATGAAATAGCATGCCTATTTTTATGCCTGTTGATTTGTAAAAAAATGTATCAAAGATTGTTTACATTTAGTTAAGTACCTAAAAAATGGACTATAAGCTCTTTATTTCATCCTTACATCTAGCAAAAAAGTTGAGGCTGGTGAAATATTTCTGGGAATGAAGTACCAAGCTCTAAATTAATTCGGTATAAGTTTACATTTGAAATAGTCATATTGAGTAAACTGTACTGCTCTTTCGTCAGGCAGATTTCTCTGAGAAGAATGAGGTAGAAACTCGAGAGGTTGCTCTTTGTGAATATACAATATCTATCTCAAACGTCATAGATCGAGACTACCTGCAATAGCTAAACGGGTCACGGCTACGGATTTTTATCATTCCAGTACGCAGAAACAGTATTTTTAAAGTTTTTGTTTCACTATAGGTTTAAACCTCGTGAGTGGTAAAATTTTTATTATAGAAGCGTATACTTATACATTGCTTCATGAATTTGTGACTTTCTGAAGACGACTGTCAAAAACAGCTAGTTCATTTTTATTCCTCGTATTAATATTGTATCTGTCAAATTTTTCATAAAACAATTACTTTTCTTCTTAACATAAATTACAGCTTCATAAATGTATTGCGATACAAGTCTAAGAATGTTAATTTCTTTATTGTTACTTTCCGCCTAATGATTATTAATTTGAAATAATAAATGTATATTAAAATTTTATGTTGTCACTTAATTTTTTTTCCGCTAAATGTGCCGCCGGTATGTGTATTGAGAATAATCAAGTTATTACCTATTCGACATCCTGATTTTTTGAAATTTCTCCTCGTCCGGTTGTGTAACGATATTTTCCAAATACTTGCATAGCGTCTCCACGCATTTCTCCACCTGAAATTGTTTTTTTTTAACCACTTATCATCAACATAGTCGTCCCATTATCGGGCATGTATGGTATGGTTTAGTACAGCAAAGTAACCTACATAAATATGAAAAAAATAACGACCATAGATTTATTTAATTTGTTATAAACGATCATTAATTTGTTAACAAAAGTAGTTACTCATTTTTAAAGAATTTGCTTTTTTCTTACAACATGTCCCCTATGCAAAGCAAAACATAATAAACAAAAGAGTAATTAACTGCCTCCGTGGCCGAACGGCTACCATGCCGGACTGCCACGCAGAGGTCCCAGGTTCGATTCCCGGGAAGGGAGAAATATTTGTATGGCCTAAATTTATTTTTCTCGCGAGTTTTTTTTTAATTTTTTTATTGTGACTCGGCAAAATGACTGCATCGCGCCTGATGGAAAGTGCGAATACAGTCCAGAGCTCATACTCTCAAGTAACGGATGGAAAACACAACACATATTTTGAGTTTGGGTGTAATTTGTGGTTGTTCATGTGTGTGTCCATGGCACCCGCGACACAGGGCTTCCCTAGTGCGGGGTTATGTTGAGCGTGTGCATTACTATATTATTAATACAAAGATCCAAACACTCAGAAAAAAATCCTTCGATCCGGGTTCGAACCGACGTTTTCTAGCAAATCGTACCAGACGCTATGCCAAATAAGCCACGGAACAAACTAGCGGACCTCACGAATTTCTCTATGTGCTTGTCTGTCGGATCCTTGTATTTGGTTTTCAACAACTTTTTAGCCGTAGCGCCATCTATGAGAAATCTATGAAAGTATATATGTGCTCCGTAAACTACCCAGAACACCAAGACCAGAACTAATTTTAAAAAGGTCATTTCTCAAATTAGTCTTATCGGGAATAGAACCCGGTACCACCCCATGGAGCGCCAATAGTGCAAATGTCTTCTATTTTTAAGCGAACAAGGTTACGATAAAATAACTTTTATTGAAACAGCTCTTTGTTGGTTCACTTTTGTAAGTGAATGCTGCTAGGTAGATACCTAAGATGAGATAAGGCAATAAATAAGTATGTAGACACACCTTGTCTCTATTATTGTTACATGACTGTATAATAAGACAGGCAGTCAATCCCCTCTCCTCCGCTAGTTGTTCATAAAGGAAAGTTTTAATGTTTTTCTTCCACTCATCTCTAGGTAGAATGTCATTGCTTATTATAGGACATCTGTAAATAAATAAATTTAATAATAAAATAATAAATATACCATCGGAATTCAAACTATTTTGTGGATCTAAATAAATAAAAAAAGCGGATTCCACTAAGGACCACCAAGAAACTCTAATGTTGTTTTTTGAATGCAAAATTTCAATAGTTAACGAACTAACCACTGAGCAAGAAATAAAGCGTTTAGGATCGTCTACACGGGTGAAGCTAGTAGTATATAGTAAGTAATATTAATATTAATATAATTAATAGTATTATTAATTTAGTAGCAGTAGAGCTCCTTGTGAAAGAGTTCGTCCAGGGAAGTACTGTCTTTTACGTACGGGTTTGAAGGGTATGGGTGCTGGTGAAATTACAGGCACATGGGACTTGCTAATTTATGCCTCGGGGTGACGGGCGCAGTGGCAGTGCCCCTCAGATCTTTGCGATTTAAAGCTCTGAGTGGCACTGCAACTGTTATGGACAAGCATGTAGCTTACCATCAGGCGCACGATTTGTTCGTCCCGTTACTTAATATTATAAAAAGAAAAGGAAAAAACATTATTAAATATATATATATATAATCGGTGTTTATTTGTATGTATATGTAAGTAAATAAACACCAATTATCATGCGCAAGTTTACTCGCAGTGAAGCTTGAGTACGTGAGCGAGGCGAGGCTTTACTAACACATTCCAAAGGACTATCAAAAGACCTGAGTATAATTTCGAAATGACATATTGCTTACCTAAAAAACACACCAGCTGCAGCAAAGTTCCTTGGCAAATCCACTTCTTCAGGTGACCTCGGTCTTTCATCAACATGTGGTTCGGATTTTGAAGCGTTTGATTCATTTTCAAGTTCTTTCCTTACTTGTGCCTGACAATTTAAATAAAAACCCTGAATGTGATTTACTGTTGTGGTACGTCAATGATAGCATCCTCTTTCATAACAAATGTAACCAACATTTGATAGTTTTAAGAGTTCGCCAGGGAAGTACTGTATGTAACTTTACCGGTCTTATACTGTGGGGCAATTCATTAGTCGTGGAAAGTGCGTTTAAGGTTCAGAAATGTGTTCGGGCGATCTGCGGTGCGTGGTTCGATAACAGCTGTAAACCTCTGTTCAAAAAACTAAACATACTGCCTTTGCCATGCATGTACATTTGGGTGTTTCATTTTTACAAAGACGTGATTTTCATATGACTTTGCTTACGCCCCGAGTCTCATGGTCGTATTCCAGAAGTTCCTTTGAGGAGTCCAAGTTCCTAAAAACTCACTACAAAGTACCTTTTTTTGTACCCAATTTCTACTCTGGTTTCCATTTTATTAATCATAATTGACTACAAAAAATTAAAGAAATTCATGAAAAGCTCATAAGTGCAAAGTATTTCAATATTCGAAATTGCACTAGTATGAAATAAAAGTGTGCAACCCCTTAATATATTATCCAATAATCTTGAAATTCTGCATATATTTTTTATACAACACTGAGAGTCGTATTCTAGAACTCTACTCAATGCTCAAGTCAGGATTGCAATTGAAACACAAGCACAGGAAATACGACCCTAATGGCAAGGACTTGAGTATGATTTTCAGTGCTCACTGCAATACTCAAGTCCTGACTTGAGCATTGAGTAGAGTTCTAGAATACGACCCTCAGACTAGGGGCGTAAGCAAAGTCTGCAAAAATTTTACATTTTATTTTTTGCCTAACAAAATGAAACACCCTAATGTACATTAGGGATATCTGTGTATTTGTCAAAACTTTTGACACATTGCTTGTATAGTAATAAAGAATACTTAGAATTTCCAAATAAAAATTTACATTTATTTGAAGTGCAATTAACAATAGAAACCAAACATGAAATTCATATTGGCACATCTGCTTGCAGGTTGAATACAATGTACCTAATTGTATTTAAGACCTTTATCATTACTGTATTCTGGCAAATAAACGTATTCTATTACCTATTTCTGTCGCCAAGCAGTAATGTGACCATTACTGTGTTACGTTTTGAAGGGTAAGGGTGCTGGTGAAATTTCAAGCACACGGGACTTGTCAACTTATGTTGTCTCTTTTAGGTGACGTGCGTAGTGGCAATCCTGCTCAGAACTTTGTGAATTAAAGCCCTGAGCGGCAATCAAAATTTCTCAAACTCGTATTTTAAAACACAAAGTTACTGAAATGCAAAAAAATGGATTGTACATACAAATTTTGCAGGCTAATTTCACATTACATTTCGTTCATATTCACACACTAGCTTTTACCTATTCATACTTAAAGTAATGCATTTAAATTGACACCCGTGATAAGAAATATAAAATAAATAGAAAGTTTTGCCATCTCCATCTATCACTCCTATTAAGATACGAATTTGAGAAAGTAAGGAATCGCTGTGCTAAATTAGGGTCACCGCTCTACCAACTGAGCTGCAAATCAGCAAAATGTGTCAAATGTACATTATAACAAAATGTGGAGCTTATTTTTTATTATGAAACTAGTAGTAACGTGGTGAGCTCTGTGTGCTGGACTGTTCCCGACAACAATTCTACGGACAGCAGTAGCGAAGAAGAGTTCCAGGACGCGCTGACGCAACGTATCAGCCCCCCCGAGTTCCCCACTGCGGACTGCGTCATCTACGCGCGCGCAGAAAGCCGCAGCGCGCAGCCGCAGCGCGCGCACGTGACGCCGGTCGCGAACGTTGCCCTCAACCTCTGATGAAGACCATCGATTATGGTTGAAACTAGTGGGACCGCTTTCGACTAAAATACTACGCGAGTAATTCCCGTTACTTTTATACTATAATGTGGAGCTTCATTTGCAGCAATGTAATGCAAATACGCTCAAAAAATGGAATTATTTTTATTTTTTCACAAATGAAACTCTACAATTGTTTACACAAAATTAACATTTTAACAGAAAACACTAGACGTTGGACACAAACGCGCAAAAATAATCCTATGAAAACAGTACCATACCACCTGAACAAGCAGTGACATAACACCTTAAATTAACCAAGTCAAGTACAGCTCACACAGGTCTTCAGGTGCAAATATAAAGACTCACTTTATTGGGTCTATTTACTCAAAATTAAAATGTCACCAAAATTGAATCCAAAGAAAAGTTAGTAGTTAGCCAGAATGATGTCCGTGTAAAGTATTAATGAGTGAAATGGCGATTTTTAACCTCTGACGCAAAAAGAGGGGAGTTATAAGTTCGATGCTTTTGTCTCTGTATCTGCTCAGCAGTTAAAAAAAATTTATGAAGACGTTACAATAATATGGTAACTATGATTCGATCCTGCAACCAGGCTAGTCTGAAGACCACCCAGCTTCACATTAAAACCAGTAATAGTAAAAAAAATCCTTTATTTTCAGATGTATTAATAGTGTTTGTGTTCATTAAATTGGTCTCGATTCATTATTAGCTGATAGATATTGATTTTATTGAAGTTTTGGAGTACACTGTTTTGTATCAATGGTTTTTTAACTTTTTATTTCATTGATATGTAGTAATGCATCACGTGTCATCGAAGTTATAGACGACCAGTCGAAGAAGTAATGGACGTTATTTAGAATTGACAGAAAAAGCATATAATTCAGAGGTAAAAACGATAGCAGGAGAGCAAGGAATAGGCAGCAGGCATTGACGGAGAAAATAACCGATTAAAAAATACATAATCTCATTACAGAGCACTAAACAACCGACCTCAAAAGTCATTCATCCCCTAGTATGCCACCCTTAGAGGTGTAATATTTTTTTCAAATTTAAATGGGACCACTACTGCTACCCTCTTTCCAACAAAAAAAGAATTATCAAAATCGGTTCACAAATGCCGGAGTCATCGCGTAACATACATACAAAAAAACGTAGCCGAATTGAGAACCTAGTCCTTTTTTGAAGTCGGTTAATAAAAATAAAAACAAATTCGAAATATGAAAGTATATACAAAAGGTCTATCGCCAATACAGGAAGTATATTGAGACTTTTGGAGGTGTGAAGACTCAAGTTGAGAGATAAGTTTCATGAGATTAACATTCTTACATTAGCATCAGAGTATACCTATGAAAATGTAATTTATGCTAAGTAAGCTAATTTGTAAAATGTTGCCAAATAAATTATTTTTCTTTCTTTCTTTCTTCTTTCTAAGAAGAATAGTATTTTTTTAATGAAAAATAGTGATAGACATATCATTAACACAAGGAATAACAAATAAAAGAGCTGTTCTTGATAGTTGTCTTCAAAAACTAATAAATTCATTTAAGGGGCACTTCGGGATTTACACTTCTAGAATAAGATTCAGTAAGGTTGATATTCAAAATTTGCTTTTAGTGAGGTTTAAAACTATAGTAAAACAAAAACTTTATTCTAAGGTTATTTATACAGCTTCTGCGTAGATGGATGATCAAAATTCGTGGTAGTGACCCGTTTAGTTCCTGCAGGTGTTCTCTATCTAAGATGTTGGAAATGGTAAATGTATATTTACAAAAAGCAACAACTAGAGTTTCTTGCTCATTCTTCTCAGGGCAATCTGTTTCAAGAATGAGCGGTAAGTTTAATCAATATGACAATTTCAAGTGTAATTTGCTTACCTATGAAATAAATATGATTTTGAATTTTGGAATTTGTAAGAGTATAATATTCAACTACCCATCGAGTATATAACCAGAAATAGAGACGAAGTAAGGGCTATCCAGCACTGGAAACTCATCAGGCAAAAGGACCTTAAATCAGTTTTAAATATCAACTCTCGTTTGCGCTGAAGGCACAAATTAGAAAGCTGAAATAGCGCCAACTACTGACCTGTGTGTACATCTCCAAAAATATTCGTATTTATTGTCGTAAAGATAATTCATATAATGATTAATATAAAGATTTTTAAATTTTGGTCCATTATAGCAAAGCTCAAGTTAAACTGGTCTGGTTTGAAGTGAAACTATTGACGAAACCCGTCAATTGTTTCGAATTCGTGCTTGCCAATCGGAGCGCAGTTGTAACGGTAATGATTTGGCAGAATAGTTTTTGAACAAATTAAGTGACATTTCGTCTCTATTTCTGGTTATATACTCGATGTATATATGTATGCCTGTCCATAGCAGTTGCAGTGCCATTCAGAGCTTTAAATCGTAAAGATCTAAAGGGCACTGCCAGTGCATCCGCACCCTGAGACGAAGTTGATAAGTTCCATATACTTGTAATTTCACCAGCAGCCATACGCTAAACCGGAACACTTGGCGGTAGAAATAGGTAAGATAGTAGTACTACCATAGACAAACTCTTTCACAAGGAGCTTTACTGCTTCTACTCATGCTCTATTTTGAACAAATGTCAATATAAATACTTTTAGCTTATTATACTTCGTTCCAATCCATTTTGAACAAAATGTAAACAAACAAGTCACTGACCCGACCATAGATGGTTTAGTGATGGCTAATTGTAATGCCAACTACAAATTGATTAATCATGTAAGAATGTTAATTGAATGAATCGATTTGTTCAATTGAGTCATACGAGCGGTTTCCCTTACATAACCTAAATAAGAATATAAAAAATTTCCAAAATCTTCATTTTAAATCTTCCTTCAAATCCTCACACTTAGATACTTATTCAATTGCGAGTGAAATATTCGATTTACTAATCGATTACAAAAACTTAAAACTTATTTACATTACTATCACAGTGCTAAGCTGGAGGAATAAAATTACTGCGATTAGACATTTTCCATGTGTGTCAATTGTCACTTTGCTAAAAATAATTTTAAATTAGAATAAAAGACCTGAATTGCAGCCAAAGAAGTGTTGAATGTAGGGTTCTCTCGTTTCTGCTGCAGCCTGGCCAATGCTGCATCAGCAGCTACTTTGCTCTCCTCAGACAAACCAGACCTTCTTGGTTTTACTGCATCTTTCTTGGATGATACTGAACTAGTACTGCTTGATGCGTCACTTAGTCTGTAACGAAATGGAATTACAATTTACCATACAATCAATTACCAACAATTTTTATGGTGGCCCGTAGCTATATTTTTTAACACTGTACATAGTTTAATTACACACAGTGAAGAGATAGCTTGATTAATTTAGTGTTTTGCCATACATACAAATAGATATTTTCTTAGTAAATTTCTTGTCATACAAGTTAACAATTCTTTTGTATTTAATTAATGGACTTGCTCTTGAACACTACCTAGTCCTGGAGCAAAGATAGGTTCTATGATGGAACGAGTTCGCCGAAAAGACGCCTATACAGTCGCACCTAAAAGATGTGCTCGAAAACACGGACAGGGAACTTCATTCCTGAGTTGTACACAAAATAAAAGATTTCAAAAAGTGCTTAGTATGCCCGAAGGGAATATCGACCAAATAAGGATGATACCTCACCGTACGTCTGAATGTCCGATGTCTCACCGAATTATATATATACATAAGTATTCCACCATGTTAGTAAACATTTTTTTGATAGACTGGAAAGGAAACTTCACTCACGCTTTTGTATTATTACTTGAAATGGAGTATCTCAACTCACATGAAAATTCAAAGAGTAAATAAGAATTTTGTTTTTCTATATCCCAATTAACACCAAAGATAACAATGGGGTAAAGTCAAGCTTTGGGAGATGTTCCTTCTTTATAAAAACGAGACAAAAGTTAGTCATAGTCTGTACAGCACTGGTCAAGGTTACGACATATTAAACTGCTGATTTTTTAATGTCTGCATGTCAACGACAGTTCAGAACCCTAGGAAATATGTGAAGTCCCCAACCTGCATTGTGCGTGATAAACTATAACTAAATCCTCTGTCTCTATAATAAATTGATGTTAATAACCATTTAATTATTCAACTAGTTTCAATTTAATTATTACGTTTAACTATCAATTTTAAGTGTTATTTTAATTGTTATGGCAATTGGCAATAGCAGGGGGAGTTATTGTAATACTACGAAGATAGAACTGTTCCAGTGACTTACTTATGTCCAGGTCCAGCCAACTTGAATTTTGCATCAGCTTTCTTCTTTTGAAAGAACTTTTTAATCTTGTCCGTCATTTTATATCCTTGGAGTGTGCTCCTTAGGCAGTTTCAGCTTGGAAACACTTTCCTTCAACTGTTCTATAGTTGCCGATGTAGCTGGAACAATGTTGTCTCTAACTTAGTAATGGGTTGCATCAGAAAGTGTGACACATACATACAAGCCATTCTGTGGTACAGCCAGCTCTAAACATTGGCCACATGCTGTCTGCTACCTGTGGGGTTAGCTCAAACAAAGCGAGTTTTGCCCAAGAGCGGCAAGATACTGCTATTCTCGAATAGAGAACGGCAATATCTCACGCTTCTCTAGCCCTACTGCGGTCTTGCAGATATATGGTGATATAACATTGCCTGATTAAAGAAGTAAGACTTGAAGGTTAAAATAACTATGGTTACTTCAACCCTGCAACAGTAGCTGCCCTGTTGCTGCCATAATATTACAAAGTCTAGAAATTTGTAGTTCAATTATAGCATGGCTGATATGGTTTAACAGATAGATGCCTGCAACGAAACATTTAGGTGCGTATTTTGTATGTAGTGAATGTGAATGGTGAGTCTTTAGGGTTTTCAGGGTCGTATTCTAGAACTCTACTCAATGCTCAAGTCAGGACTTGAGTATGATTCAAAGCACTAGAAATCATACTCAAGTCCTTGCCATTAGGGTCGTATTTCCAGTGCTTGAAATCATACTCAAGTCTGCTCAAATCCTGACTTGAGCATTGAGTAGAGTTCTGGAATACTACCCTCAGTGTATTCAAAGTTTAGCATGAATACAATGCATAATAAGTCTTTATGGTTTTATATTATTTGTTATTAGGTACTTCCTTAAAAGATAGGCTATCTTGATGACTTGTCAGTGAAGAGATTGTAAACAGTGAGTTTGTAGATTATAAGTAATAAAATCGACTCATCCGTAGAACAAAGATCTATATGCAGGACTACTTGTTCTCAGGACATAGTACATTTCGTTTGTGCTTCTTCGCTGTGGATGTGAGATTGACCGTTATTCGATTTCATATTTCCAAAACAAAATAAGATATACAAATTCTCAAAACACTTTTACATAGCCCTTAATTTGAATAATGAAATTGTTCTTGTAACGCACTTACTCTTTTTCGCTATATAATCACATTGGACTCTGTTCTTCAGATGATTCGAAATTGTTTATTATGCAAAGCATAATAAGATAGCTTTTACATATGTATTGATTTGAAAATGGGTTTGGTCACATTATGTACCTTATCAAAGATAATAACATAAATGAACTAAAAGGATAAAAAAATCTGTATTCACACACACTACCTAACCATTACACCTTTGATAATTAGTTAACAGTGTATATGTGGATACATACATAAATTTCGCAACCATTTCCCACCGGGGTAGGCAGAGAATACTGCCTTCCAATTGCTACAATCCTAGCACATCTCTTTTGCCTCTTCAATACCCATAAATGTTTAAGCGGAAGTTTTTTTTTGTATATGCTTTGTGAGACTGCAGAACGGACTATGCAGGACAACCAGTAAATATTAACAGAATGGAAAACATGGACAATAACAATAATAATCGCTTCCAACACAAATGCAAACGGTAATCCTGCTCAATATCGCCTTACTTTCTCAAACTCATATCTTAAAACACAAAGTTACAGACATGCAAAAAAAAAATGCAACAAATGGATTGTATATACAAATTTTGCAGGCTGATGCACATCACAGTTCCTTCATATTTATACACACTGGCTTATACCTATTCTCAAAGTAATGCATCCAAATTAATAACCCTCTATGAGAAATTCAAAATAAATAGAAACTTGACATATCCTGAATAATCACTCTTTATCAGATACGAGTTTGAGAGAGTGAGGCATCAATATGGTACATATTTTTTAAGAGACCAAGTGACAGGACGAACAAGTTGCGCACCTGCAATACCTGGTAGTAAGTGGCACTCCTGTCCATAACAGTTGCAGTACCAGTCAATGCTTTTAAAACACAAAGATCCAAGGAGCACTGCCACTGTGCCTGTCATCCTGGACATAAGTATATAAGTCTCATGTGCCTAGAATTTCACCAGTTCTCTTACCTTTCATAGAAATTAAGTATAATTGCCCATTTAAAAATTTAAAATTAATCTTTTAAAATAGATATCCAAAATAATAATGATGTACCAGACAACCACACCAATTGCCTGGTCTCAAACTAGAGAATTCCGTCTACTATGAGTACCAGAGCAACGGTATTCACCCTAGAGCGCTTTTAAAATGGTACAATATTTCGCTATGAGCTCTGAAGTAAACACAAAAACAAATAAACAAATAATTAATCACACATACAAGGCCAAGGATACTTCATACTACATTATTATCACGAGACAGTGACTCACCAGGCTTCATAAACCTCTCAGATATACGTTTTCCGTACACTCGCCACGACACAAAAATCAATAAGAAAGTAAACAACAGAATCAAGAAAAACGTTTTTAGCAGCAGAAACTGGAACTCATTGAAGTAGAAAACTTCAACTATCTCGTCATAAATAGTATTCTCGCCAAGACTAACGAATGATTTAGGAAAATGTTCGATCGGCAACGAAGACACGCACGACTCGAAAAAATCTTTAGCGAAAGTCAAAGTATCTTCAATCTGAAGATACAAAGCCTCGTAAAGAGTAGAGTTGAAAACTGCGGTGTCGAATAAAGACATTACACGTGAGATTTCTTATGTTAAAAATGATTATTTGGAAAAATAAAATCACTCATGCTAAAAACCGAAATCGCATGTCACTTTTCACTTTTCTTGAGTTGTGACAGTTAATATGTTGCCATAAAAAGGAGTTTGACTTTATCCAATTCTTTTATTTTTATGATTATAGGTAGTTTATTCAAATCCCTTGGACTCGTAGTAGGTAGGACTCTTTTGAGCAACGATCTGTATCTTTATCAAACAAGTTGGATTACAGTGGTCTTTCTTTTTTATGAATGAAATAACGCAGTATATTTTATTGCACATTACAAAAAAACAGTAACAACACTTAAAACAATCTGGGTAAAGTAGAAAATAGTATAGTGAAAATTCACTGTCTTACTACGATCTCAACACGTTGCCTTTGAAAATATGGGGAATTTAATATTAATGGCAACTTTGATCATAGTTCAGAAATCACTGTTGGCGGGAAATTTTAAATTGTATGAAAAAGGTATTTTTTACAAAAGATGCGACTAAGATTCCAGCCACTATTTTAATCAATTCAATCTCACATGCCTTTGGTGGTATCCAAATGTCTTATTCAACATATAAGTACTTAAACAGTATTAATTGCGAGATTGAGAGTACCTAATGAAAACGTGAATTAATGAATTCTAACACGCAACTACGCTATTTAAGCTTCCATACTGATCCTAAGTTATTTTGGAGCATTTAAATGCGTACGTCTTTCAAGACGTATTTGTGTCTCTCGCAAATCAATAAAATCCATATTTTACATTTTGTAGTCTGAGAAGACGTTCACACAGCCAATACTTGCTCGCTTTAAACCTAAACTTTCTCGAACTAAGTGCTACCTTCCAAAAGCTTACTTATGTAGGTAGAAGGGATCACGAAAAGCTGAAATATATTTGTTAGCTTCATATGACTATGACGCAATACTGAATTTTATTTAAATGTTATTCTGACAGAATTATATAGGCACTGTTTAATAAAATAGCAACATGGTTAGGTATTTTATCATCTAATCATATACAAATTCCTTTGAAAATTCGAGAAATTAACCTTCCCAAATGGTGGCAATACCAAATATTTCTAAGCTTACTAGGATTCGCTCTGGACCTTTTGGAGGGAAAAGTGTCGTTTTTATTTTGACTTTCAATTATTTTGTGAAATCTAGTTTAAAGTGGAATAGGATAGTGCTATTGTGCCTTAATCAAAGATTAAAACGCGAAATTATACGAATCTCGAACTAAAATGCCCGTATCGGCCCGTTCTAAGGAATCCCGAGTCAATCCAAACACGCCGCCTCAAATTGCCTATCCTCTTTGTGGCGGCCATATTTACAGAAAAACTTATTTTTATGTTTTCGGCTGAAGGACTTTGTTTCCATGGCCAGAAATAAATTAATAAAAAAAAACTAAGCTTACTTTTAATACACAGAGCTCACAAAGATTTTGAGCTTAACAAAGTATCACTGTTCAAAGATTACTCCAAAGGATATGAGATTAGGACATACCTTTTGGTGTGAAATCCTTTGAGAGATTCTAATACGAACTTTGCTACTGAATACCTACCTATACCTACCTACTTGATATTTAACAAGACTGTAAAAGATGTACCTACTTACGAGCGGGAAACAATTTAGTCCATTAGGTACCCTAACCAACAGGGCGGTATTTATGAAGAACTCGCCAACAAAATGAAAAAACAAACATGTATTTCTAAGTGACACATACAAAAAATTACTTTTTTCTTATATTTTTTGAGTAAAATTTTATATATTTTGATATGTTTATGAGATACTTATAAATCTTTCTAAGTAAAAAGTTTGCCCCAATTACAACCTCTGCTGTTGGTTTTTATGTGATGTTGCCTCTACATTTTTTTTATGATACCAAATAACTGGTCGTAAGCAATACGCCTGTCCATAAAATCTTAGGGGCATTTTCACTGTACCCATCACCCTGCATCTCCAGCATCCGCACCCTTCAAAATCGGAACGCAGTAATGCGAATATTTCTGCGTTCCGGTTTTGATGAACTTGTCAAATAGATGTATATCGAGTATATAATCAGAAATATAGACGAAATAAGGGCCATCCATCCCTGGTAACTCATCAGGCAAATGGGCCTTACATCACTTTTAAATATCAACTCTCGTTTGCACTGAAATCACAAATTAGAAAGATGAAATAGTACAGCGCCAACAACTGACCTGTGTGTAGGTACGTCTCCTTATATTCCAAAAATATTCTGTATTTATTGTAATAAAGATAATATCTCTAACTATGTGGGGCTTTTCCATTCGGTGGTGTGGGAAAAAGAGCAAAACATTAAATTACAAAACAAACGGAACCACATTTCATCGGTAATTAAATATGTAATTTTTCAATTAACGTCCATTGTAGCAAAGCTCAAGTTAAACTGGTCGATTTGAAGTGAAACAATTGACGACATCCGTTAATTGTTTCGAATTCGGGCTGGCCAATCGGAGCGCAGTTGTCACCGTAATGATTTGGCACAATAGTTTTCAAACAAATTAAATGACATTTCATCTCTATTGCTGGTTATATACTCGATGTCTCAGGGTGACGTGTTGTGTGTGTTGGTTTTTTGTGACATTGCAACTTACACTTGAAATAATTGTAGCATCTCAGCTTTTAAAGTTGCTGATAGTGGTAAGAACAAATCAAGGGTTTGACTTCAAAACAAAACAACGATGATGCAACTGTTTAATATTCTAATTTTTTAGCATACTAATTTAACACTATAATAACATTAAAACTTAACACTATTATCTGAATAATATCACATATAGCCAGCAGCTTTTAAACACGTTTTCGCAACACATTCTTAGTGTTTCATTTTTAGAACAAATATTCACATAATGTTTTATTTTTGAAACATGTTCATAACATGTTTTGTAATTCGGAACATATTCAATGCTTATAATATTTGGAACATATTTACAAAATGTTTCGTTTTGGCAAGTTACTGTGGAATATACAGCCATCACAGTCAAAAGTCAAATAGCTCATTAATTATAATCAATGCAGTTTATAAATTACAATTGATACAATCAATTTAATCAAAACAATACTTAGTTCATATTGAATATTTACATAGCAAAAAAATTTGGCTAGTAAGTACTGATCAAATAGCATACAGGCATACGAACTATTGACAAAAACAAAGTATTCACTGAATAATAAATAAATTAAAACGTTAGCTTGCTTTATTGTAAGTACAAATTCGTATAATTAATAGCAGAATTAAATTCATAATCTCATTGTTTAAAATTGTATACTGATTAAAATTGACTTATTCGTACAAACGGTTTAAACATTTTGTATACATATCCAAAACAAACACAGTTTCTAGCTCAAAAGAGAACAGTGGTCACATAGGCATTCCCTTTCAGGAAAAACTAAACTTTCGAGACCATTCAAAAGTAGATTTCCTTTAATTATAGGCTAGGCATTTAGGTGCTCAAAGTATGATATTTTAAAATAGTTCTTTATTAACTCTAACTATAAAACAAAAAAATATTAATGAAAGATTTTAATTTTTAATGAAGTTTCAGATAGAGAAGACTAAAATTACTGTAATTCTTTAATCGCCACAGGTTATACAATAAGGTTTATAGGCGATTGCATCGATACAAACGCGCGATGCAGTCGCTTATGTTGAATAATTATGTACGAAAAATTGTATAGGTTTATGCACATTGTGTTGTTTTGTTAATTGTAAATTTAAAAGTGAAATTAATAACATTAAATAAATAAATTAGTTAATTAATTTAAAACGTGCATCGCGTTTGCATCGCTGCTTAAAGTCGCGCGTGTGTGTAAAGGTAGACAATTAGCGACTGCATCGCGATTGCATCGCGTTTGAATCGCTGCTAAAAGATGCCGTGTGTAACCGCTCTTAGTTGTACAAGCGAATGTCACCGAAGTGGTACATAGGAACTTAATTTTTGCAGCATGTTTTGGAAATGTACACTAAATTTACACCTAATACATTTTTAGACTACGGCCCGATAGCAAACTTTAGTAACCAAATACTACAAAGAATTATCAATCTAGACAAAATGCTAACAGTCGCTGTCGATGTTGTACTATTTACAACTATAATAGGCCACCAGTGCGTTATAGAAACTATTTGGGTATCATTATTTGGTTTTTCCGTAGTGTGATGCTCTAAATTATCGTCGGGCAGATAGCTACCACAAGTGGGAAATTCTCTAGGCAATGGCGGCATCTCATTGTGTTCACCTACTTTAAAAACTAAAGCCATACCAACTTCAACGTGAAACTCTATGTGACAATGGAAGAGCCAGTAACCTGGATTGTCAGCTTTGAATCTAATTACTGTATATCCACCATCGGGTACAGTCACCGTGTCTTTTATAGGAGCGTTTTTAAGGTTTCTTTTCAGTAATCCGGCTTTATCAAACGCCTTGACTTGTTCTATCGTCGTTGAGGCATTTAGTCTTCTCATACCAACAACTCTGAAGTTATGACCGTGTAGATGAAATGGGTGATTCGCGTCGAATGTAACTCCTTCATCTACAATAATAACTTCAACGACAGAATTCAATTTGACTGATAAAACGTGTGAGCATTCGCAATAGCCCGTAAGTTCTTTACAAACGTCATCTATGTTGGTGGTGTTGCAGAAATTGTCGGCGGATGGTCTAGCTAACAATAAGGGGCTCGATGGTAACTTCATGCTGATGTGGTTCAGTTGAGGAGTGTAGACGCGATCCAAAGGTCTCTGAACTGTAAACACAAAGTACAATATTCTATTATCAAATTACATCACAAATTATGAGATGAAAACAAGTATTTTAATCATTATCGTTCTATAAACGTATCTTTAAGTTTTGTACAGTTATTTTTCTTACGTACCCCCCTAACCCCCGCACTAGGGAATCCCTGTGTCGCGGGTGCCATGGACACACATACACAATAACAAATTACACCCAAACTGCAATAAATATAGACCATATTTCTCCCGGCTCGGGAATCGAACCCGGGACCTCTGTGTGGTAGATCGACATGGTAACCGTTCGGCCGCGGTGGCAGTTAAATGTTATTTGTTGAAGCGCTATTTGTAGATGCTGTCTTTATAATCAATGTGATTATATTTTTCATATCACTCATGTTGGCACTCATCACGCTATATCATGCCTGCTGATGAGCTGCTTAGATCATCGGCCAAAATGCCAATGCCAAATATGCCATAGACAAATGTTATTTTTTATAAAAAGTAAAAAATAAAAAGTATTAAGTATTAAGTATAAATTTAAAATTAGAAGTTAAGAAAATTGAAAATTGTTAAAAAAAAAAAAAAATTGTTTGTTTTGTTTTTGTCGATCTTTGGAAATGTAAAAATTAAACACTATCTACATTAAGTATGAATTAAAAATGTTAAATATGCATTTATAGCTATGGAAGAGCGGTGCCTCCTGACACAGGCTTGATAAGCTTAATAGGAGGTACCATCCACTGTTAATGTAAAGTTAATTGTATTTCAGTAATACATAATATATATTAATTGTATTTCAGTAATACATAAATAAACATTTATTATTATTATTAGGTTTTTCAAACAAATCAATATTCTGCCCCTTTACTGGTGTAATGGTCACGGCTGAGTGAGTGAGTCAGTCATGACCGTGGGACCTGAAAAGGATCTGTAAATATATGTTATTTAGACCCAAAATGAAAATAGTTTCATTTCATATGTGTAAGTAATAATCGCGAAAACTTAACAATTCGATTTAGAATTGTAAAAAAAAACAGACCTCAAATGTTTGAAATTACATCTATTTGCCAAGTTTTATTGAAATCGGTTAATGAAAGGTGGGTGAAACTCAATAAACCGGATTCATCCCCTGATATGCTGCTATTACAAGAGGAATATTTTCTTTAAAATTTAATGGGACCATTACATCACACCACAACATCGAAATCGGTTCACAAATATGACAGAGTAATCGCATGGTATATACCTGGTACACACAAACTAAAAAGAAAACCTATGCGTTCAAATTTTTCCCGTACTAATACGGTTCATTTTGCTTGGGTCGAGCGGCAGGGTCACTGGCTTTATTTCATAATTTATTTTTTAAATTGAAATGAAATCCATTTGAAAAATGTATATCGTGTTCTATTTAGTTCAGTCGATATAATAAAGAAATTGATATTATGTAAAGTACCTTCTGAATACAGTGGTTTTCTTATAAAATTTCGAGGTTAATTTGTGTTTTTTTTCTATTGTGAACATTTTTAGGAATGTGTTTTCATACCGTATAGTAGGTAATCAGTGTATTATGCTCATTGACTTACAATTATATGGACGTCGGGTCTGCGCTAAAAAGTGTCCGAACTTATAGGGCGTTAAAATCGTATATAGAGCGTCATTCGCGCTTTAGTCTTCGTTTGTTTCTTTTGACAGCGCAGCAAGCAAAATTAGACAGTACTGCGATGACATTACAATTTAAATTAAACGTTTTAGCTTTTTCATATTCCTTTACATGTCACTACGGTTAAATAGGTTGACTTAGGACATTTTTTTCGTGGTTTTTGTATTAGACCCGTCGTCCATTTATCTCAATGTCAATGATTATCCTCAATTTTACTATGTTTTTTTCTAAAGCGATTGATTCAACACTTTCAGTGTCATGCGGAATCAACCAAAGCCATTTGAGGTTGTATAGACTGTTAAAGCAAAATAAATAAATAAGAATTGAATTGAGAAAAATAATGATTTTGGTTTGCCGAGGCGAGAACAACGTGAGACGAGATAACGGGCTAATTTTACTCACTTTGATAAAATGAATAATAAGGCGATTTGTGATAATGTGAGTTGTTCTTAGGGTAAAAATCGTAGGCGACATAAAACTGGTAATCTGCATCTTTTTTTAGACTGTCATCGTATCCGGCGAGGGATTTCATTTCAGCCACGCAGATTGTGTCATTTTCTTCTTCACCTTTGTTTAGGGCGTTCAATTGCTGTAAGAGAAAAATTTTGAAGTTAGGAACATTTTGCAGATAACAATAAAGCCATTTTTGTAGAAGCATAAGACATTTACAGTCAAAGGGAAAAAAACGTGATACTATTGCCGGTAAACCTATGTCAGCAGAAAAGGTAAGTGTGGTATACGGCCTACCCTTAGGGCGCCTTCAAATTAGACAATACAGAAGCATCTACAGTACCGGCTTGCTTTGATGGCCGTTTTGACAAATTACAACTGTGAGGTCAAATCTCAATTCATTATCGAACATCACATCTATAAGTTCTATTATAACGAAAATAAAAATGTTTACTTAATATATCGAAACTGCTTTATTTTGCATTGAGCTTTGACGCGAGTTTGCCGGAGGAGGTAGAAGTTGTACTGGCCAGTGATCCCGTAAGTGACGATCGTAATAAATTTCGTTTTTAAAATTGCGAATTTCGAAAAACAAATGCCGACGAGTTGTGTCGTAAAATTATACATTCCATAAATTTTACTACACGTCACTATTGACATCAATGTACATCAATTAGCTCCTTCAACGTAGTTATGAATTAATACGAAACTTGATGAGCGGACAAACGTCAAAACGGCCATCATAGCGTGCCGGTAGTATAATTTGAAGCACGCTTCTAAAAATTGTATGAAAAGTATATAGTGCGGTTGCAGCGCTTCTCGTTTATTTTGAAGGTGTCCTTGGACACAAGTTATTTATGTTATAGATGGCGCTGATCAATATCACGAAAGTAGTCTATATTAGGTAAGTGACTGTGGATATCAATTAATTCCTTCTTATTATGAAATATACCTATGGGTCATTTCTATTTTGTCTTGTAATATTATACAAATATTGATAATCAGTTAAAATTATTTTAACTTTGACAAATATGCGTATAGATGACATTATATGTTCCAAAATAATTTATAAATTAACGCTTGCTAACATGGCTAGATGGCGCTAATACTGAACAAAATAAACGAACTGCCAGCAGTATCCATAACAATCTGTGCAATAAGCGCCATCTAGTTGATTTGTTTGTTATCACTAGAAATAAGTGTAGCTTTGAGAAATTGCAGCTCGTCAATGTAAAACAAATGAGTTAGAAAAAATAGTTATTTGGTACTTGTGGTGACATCTGGTGCCAATAGGTACTAATTATCGGATTACGCTATCTTGTGTCGCTATTAGCAATCCTCTTGAGTTATTGATCCGTGATTCTACCGATCATATTAACGGTCGACGTTACCTTACTAAGTTAAAGAAATACGAGATTTAAAATGACAAACATTTTTATAGGCTCCATCGTTTACGTTCAGTAACTTCAACTTTTGACGGGTGTCAACGTTAAGTGGAAAAACATTGGAAAAATATCCCGAAAAATATATTTTTTTTAAATACGTTTTTTTTTCGAAATTTTCTCATGACCCAACACTACACACAACTAAGACGATTTAAATTATTAAGGGCCCTGAATAGTTATCATTTTGCACATGTGGCTTTATTACACCAAGGGGCGTACAGTCTCACTTACTGTAAGAATTTACTAGTACTTCTTAACAAGTCACATGTGCCTGTAATTTCACCAGCACTCTTATCCTTCAAAACCAGAACACATTAATACTGATATCACTGCTTGGCGGCAGAAATAGGTAAGGTGGCACTACTTCCCTGGACGAACTGTTTCACAAGGAGCTCTACTAAAATATTTATATTGTAAAGTAACAGTGCTAGCTACGTCTCGAATGGTAAAGTAAGAAAAGCCAATGTAAGTAGAGGCACTCAAGCTCTGACCACAAAGTACGACGACGTTAAGTATACTTCATTTTTTACTGAAACTTCTCAAAGTAACGTTACAAAGTAAAATCTTGTGTAATTAAATGTTATATACCAATCCTTCAAGATGTAGTTCTTCCCAAGTGGGATCTCCTGGGGGCTCCGTCTCCATTGCTCCTTCGTAATGCAGTACTGCTACTTGTTTTGCTTTTGTGAACCTAAAATCATATTGTTAATAGATTGAAAGATTGACTTGGAACTCCTTCCGTAGCTCAGTTGGGAGAGCGATATCCCGCGTTAGGTGAAAATATCGCTGATTTGAGTACAGCCAGATTGAAGGAATTTGTCTTTGAGTGAGACTTTTTTACGATTTTCGTGGTCGAGTGGTTTGCACACCGGTTTTCATGGTGTCGCCATCTCTGAAGTCCCTGGTTCGATTCCCGGCCGGGTCAATGTAGTAAAACTAACTTTTCTATATAGTCTCGGTAAATATATAGAGTATTGGAACATTTATTCTACGCATCACACATACCTTTCATCACAATCCATGAGCCCTCTGAACCGAATCCAATAATTTTCTATTTCATTATTTGCTTCCAAAATGAAGTCATATCGTTCTCCAGCGTATGTTACCAACGATGTCGCTGAAATTCACGGTTATTGCTGTAATTCACGATAATCAGTATCTAAACGTTAACCTAAATCTTAATCCACTGCTCAGAACGGATTTTCTTTTAGGAAAGGTTTATGCCATAGTAAACTACGCTAGCCCCATGCGGGTGCTTAGGTGACGTTACTTATTACTTGCTATTATACTAGATTGTGTCACCAAAATTACGTTGCCAATTTTTGCCTGCTTCACTTTTACTTGATGTAGTCCATATACCTACCAGTTATAGGCTCTATGTCGTGGCCGTCTGAGTTAATAACAGTAATATTATGTTTGTCGAACGACAACTCAATGGGGCAGTTGAGGAACTCAGCGTTGATCACTCGAAAACGATATTTGTAGTCCTGGAAATTAAAAAAATATGTTAAAACCATAAACGGTTAAACCTTGAACTTTAAAGGTTAAAACGTTTGTATTTATGTTTCTGCCTATATATATTCTGCCCTGCTTGTCGTAACTAACGCATTTGTATTTGGTAATTTCGAAATAAATTGACATGCATGACAATGTCAACATTTAAAAAATATGTCAATCATGATAATTTTTGCAAACGAAATAATAATAATAATAAAGCCATTCCAAAAATGTGTATCGTATACGTGTTCTATTTGGTTCAGTTGATATAAAAAAGTAAAGTACCTATTGAATATACCGGTTTTCTTGTAAAATTTCGAGGTAAGTTTGTGTTTTTTTCTATCAGAAAATTTTTAGTTTTCACATCTTATAGTAAACAGTGTACAATCCTCAATTTTACTATATATTTTTTCCAAAGCGAACACTTTCACTGTTATGCGGAATCTACCAAAACCATTTGCGGTAGTATATATTAATGATAAATGTGCAAAAATATTTATTTACAAAGAGCAACTCCTAGAGTTTCTTGCTCATTCTTCTCAGGGGAATTAGCCCTATGAATGAGCGGTACAGTTCAGTCAGTATGACAACTTGAGTGTATTTTGCTTACTTATGAAATAAAGATTATTTGACTAACGGGAATTAATAATAAATATGGTACCTTTTCAACATTAAATCTAGCAGATTTCATATAAAAAGGCGTTGCTGTGTTATTGTTTATCTTGAATCTTCCGACCCCGTTGACGAGCAGCGTGGGCGGTTTGTTGTCGCCAGACGAGTGGTGATGGTCGGTGAACATGCCTGTCGACAGCTCATGGATCCAATCGGTTAATATCATTACGTGGTCCGGTCTGTGAAAAATACATTGAACGAATTTTAAACAATGTTAGTTGGATGATACCCATCAATCTATAGTTCTTACCATAAAGTCATGTGTGATTAATACGTCAAAAGTGCTTTCACAAAAATAACACGAAGTTCATTTTTTATATAGGCTAAGCGACGTGACGTACAATTTGTGCGCCTGGTGGCAAGCGAAACGCCTATCCATAACTGTAACAGTGCCACTCTGACCTTTAAACCGCAAAGATCTGAGGAGAACTACCACTGCGCCCGTCACCCTGACTCATAAAGATGACAAGTCGTATGTGCCTGTAATTTCACCAGCACCCTTATCTTTCTAAACCAGAACGCAGTAATGCTCATACTTAGTAGCAGTAGCGCTCCTTGTGATAGAGTTCGTCCGGGGAAGTACGACCACCATGCCTATTTCTGCTGCCAAGTATTATTGTCAGCAACATTGCGTTCTGGCTTTAAAGAATAGTGGTGTTAGTGAAATTGCAGGCACATGGAACTTGTCAACTTAAGTGTCTGGGTGACGGGCGCATTAACAGTGCTCCAGACGTCAGATCTTTGCAATTTAAAGCTCTGAGCGTGGTTACCTGTCAGTAGTCAAAAATAACGTTTGCTCGAATTTTCATAACCTCGAAAGTAAGTTTGAGAGGAAAATGTTTTTCTTTTAAACCTGACTTAACCTAACCGAACCTAATCGGGTCTTTGCGATATACATCCAACATACCCTGAAAGAACAACGATTTCGTTATAATTACGTTATAATTACGGTTTTCGGTATAGTGAAAATTCGAAAAAACGTTATTTCGGAAAAAAAAATTTCGAGTTTAGATAGGTTACCCTGAGCGTCACTACAACTATTATGCGACCCAACAGAGCTTACGAATTTGTTCTAAGTGCTTCTTGTAGATCTTTGTTTCTGGTTTTTAACGACTTATTTTCCCGTAGCTCTGTCTGTGAGAAATCTACTAACTCCTTACATTAATATTGGACAGAAGTGATTAATTACGAATATCATCTCAGTCATCTGCCACCTTGAGACATGTAAAAAACCCGAAACAACGTTAGTTTGAAAAAACAAATAGGTACAGGCGATTAGATCCGAAAAAATCAGTCCCAACTTTAAAGGCAATTCCCTTTAGGACTGTTGGTCCCACTGCTTGGTTCCACTAGTGGGTCCAGTAGGATTTTCAAATATTCATGGTTCATTGTTTAATACAAGTCGATCCATCAGGGTTTGTGAACATTGTTGTCCCTACATTAGAGTAAAGATATGACTATAATAATAATATGATTATAATAATAACGCACACACTCAACATAGCCCCGCACTAGGGAAGCCCTGTGTCGCGGGTGCCACGGACACACACATAGACAATCACAAATTACTCCCAAACTCGCTAGAGAAATAAATGTAGGCCATACAAATATTTCTCCCGGCCCAGGAATCGAACCTGAGTCTTCTGCGTGGCAGTCCAGCATGGTAATCGTTCGGCCACGGAGGCAGTTACTGAAGTTAAAGATACTGGCCGCACTGACACTTGAAATATATATAGGTCGCCGTCGTAATTATCAAATGCTCAACCATATTTCGCTTGCTATAAAATAGTCCAAAATGTCAAAGTTGATGTGCTCCGTTACTGTAAGTTTCACAGTAACAAATTTAATTTCCATTCAGAACACCCAAACCAATTTAGAAACGTGTCGTGGAAATTAAGCTCTAATAATCGCAACCATGTTTCGGATTAGGGAGACTAACCAGAGAGGGACTTAATTTAACAGTAAGTACCAATTTGACTTAACATTAAGTCAATAGATGTAACATAATAATAATAATAATAATAATAATAATAATAATAATAAATAACTCATCACTTGTTAGTAACTACAGACGTTTTTAAACTTATGACTATTGTTAGTAAGCACAGAGACAAAACATAAAACATAAAAACACACATTATTACGCTCGAGGCACCGCCGATTACCCCATCACCTCACCAGAACCTAGACAGAATGACGAAGCATCGGCGCGTTAGGACTAGAACGCAGTATAGAAAGTAGTGACGCCGTCTTTTTTCGAATTAAAAACGCTACAAATATTTAAACAGTAGGTATATACCGCACGCTAAAACCAATGCAGTCTCTAAACGAAAAAGTCAACTTTCACGAAAAGGCATTTAAATAAAAAAGCAAATTCGTTTCAATTGTCGAATTTCGATTTTCGTTTAGTGATTCTTTTGAATTTGCAATATTTTTGGGAAAGTCATATATTTTTTTTAACTGCCTCAGTGCCCAAACGGTTACGGTCCCAGGTTCTTTCGTGAGTTTGGGTGTAATTTGTGGTTGTCTATGTGTCATGGCACCCGCGACACAGGGTTTCCGTAGTACGGGGCTATGTTGAGTGTTGTTGAGTGAGTGAGTGTGTGCGTTATTTTTGAAGATTAGAAAGGGTAACGCTCTGTTTACGTTGCCTAACTGCCTCTGTGGCCGAACGGCTACCAAACTGGTCTGCCAAAGTTCGAATCCCGGGCCGGGAGAAATATTTGTACTTATGACCTACGTTTATTTTTCTCGTGAGTTTGTGTGTAATTTGCGGTTGTCTATGCGTGTGTCCATGGCACCCGTGACCTAGGGTTCCCTACTGCGGGGCTTAAGATAAAAATTATATGTCAATGAACAAAATGTTATGAGCCTAAGTTTTATGTGAAGTACATTTTTCTCGATTTGCTTTCATATAGAAAAACCATTGACTTACAAATAAATGGACGACGGGTCTAATACAAAAACCACGAAAAAAATGTCCCAAGTCAACCTATTCGAAATTTAAATTGTAATGTCATCGCAGTATCGCGCTGTCAGTCGAACAAATGAAGACTAAAGCAGAGTTTGGCGCTCTGTATACGATTTTAGCGCCTTACAAGTGCGGACACTTTTTAGCGCGGACCCGACGTCCATGTAATTGTAAGTCAATGAGAAAAACAGAAAATATTTTTGTAGAGATATGAACTCCCTAATCCGAAATGGATAAATAACCTCAAAACATCTTTTTAGCAAAAAGAACCGTATTCAACAGCGAGATGTATGAGAGTTGATACAGTAACTAAGGAGCAGTAGCGAGGCGTGAAAATTGTCTTTAGTAAATCCGGAGCAAAACAAAGAACACTTGCCTTAACAAACTTTTTATATTTTTAATTAGCATACAAAATACTAGTATACTTTATTTCACTGGTTAATAATTCCACACGTTAAATTAAGCACAAAATGTTGTAAATTACTTTAAAATATTTATGAAATTGGTGATACGTGGAAAATTTTAGGCAAGCCGGTGGGAATCGAGTAATATGGACATACTAAGCCACTGCTAACTGCTAACTGCCACTGCTAAGGAGTCATATTATTATTGATAAATGGATCTAACACAAAGAAAAATCTCATTCGATCTGAAGATTCCAACCAGTTGCCATGCCGGGGTCACCGCTCTTAAGCAACTGATTTACAGAGCCAATCAACAGACCTTACGAATTTCTTTCTATGTTTGTTATAGGTATTTTTTATGACACTAAGTAATGGGACGAATAGTCTTGCACCTGGTGGTAAGCCAAGTCCTATGTGCCTGCAATTCCCACATTATTGCTTGGCGCAGAAAAAGGTAAGGTAGTACTTCCCTACACGAATTCTTTCACAAGGAGCTCTTTCAATTCAAAATCTTTGAAATACATGAAAAACATGGTATTAAAACATTACGATCAGTTACCAGAATCGAGGGATTGCATTTAGCTAAACTGAAGAATAATATGAATAATTCCCTTCTACAAATCCGGGGACTTCTCGGAACTCATCATATTTGAATATGCGTATTATTTTTTGAAATTTGAGTACATTAGCGACCAATTATTACTTCCTATATAAAGTATCTATTGGCTACAAATTATTGTCTCATAATTTTAATCGTGTTTTATAGGTAGAAACAGTAGAGCTCCTTGTGAAAGAATTCGTCCAGGGTAGTACTGCCACCTTACCTATTTCTGCCGCTAAGCAGTAATGGTAGCATTATAGTGTTCCGGTTTAAAAGGGTGCTGGTGAAATTACAGGCACATGGGACTTGTCAACTAATGTCTCAGGGTAACGGGCGCAGTGGCAGTGTGCCTCAAATCTTAGAAATTTCAAGCTCTGAGTGGCACTGTATCAGTTATGGATAGGCGTGTAGCTTACCATCAGGCGCACGACTTTCGCTCGTCGCGTCGCTTGATGTTATAAAAAAAAGGTACATGTATTTAAACACTTTAACCAAAACATGAGACAACCTATACGTTGGAATGTTTAGAAAATAAACAATAAAAAAAATAATTAAACGCATTCTTCTTGTAATATGAATTTCTAATATGAATATATAAAGAATTATTAAAGAATAAGTACCGGAATTCCTAAAAACATTAAACTCCGTTTTTTTCATCATACCAATAAATTCTAATATAAACCCAAATCAAACATAAATAAAGTTTAATTGGTTTTTCTGTAGGTTATTAGTGCTAACATCGTGATTTCTAGAGCGAAACAAATGCTTCGTGGTCTTACTAAAGTCTTTCCATGGCCACGCTATTTGTCACCGACTTTGTGTCATTAATTTCAACAAACATTAAATGTGCGGCATTTAAGTTTCAGATGATATAAATTGTCGTCTAAAATAGCAATGGAGATCTTGAGTTCAATTCGTAATTTGCTAATTATTACTTATAACAAGTAATAATTAGATTAAATTAGGAAAACGACTAAGGAAAACATTGTTATCTAATAATTCATAATTTAAAAAAAAATATTTCAAAGACTCCTTTTTAAAGGACTGGCTCGATACAGCCCAAAACCGGGACCAATGGAAAAAATCATTGACTCATTCATTACACTACATCAACATCGTTAAGAATTATTGGATTTAATACCCGGTAAATAAAAACTAAGTTGTAAATTGTCCACATGTTGTTTGCCTTCAACATAAATAATGCTGTTTTAAAAACTTATGTAGTCGAAAAGGTAATTTTTCTTTCAAGATAGTCGTAGCGCTGTATAAGGATTAAGGAAAAGCAAATGTTTACGTAAAAGTACTATTTAGTTAATGGATGACGCAAAAAACAAGTCGTGGGGATTTACCGCAATAAAATTTGCTTATAATCATAAATAAAGTTATTATGATTCTTAGAACTTAATATCTTTGGAGGTGGTCTAACTTCTCTAATGTTTTAGATATTAAAGGCTGTTGAATTGGATATCACGAGTAGTATTAGTGGACTTTGTGTCTTCATTAACCAAGCGGCATCAAAAACGAACTTCCATATTCAACTCGATCAGCTAATTTCAGGTTCAGAATATTTTGGCAAATCTTGAGGTTTGTACAGGCACATCAGGTTTGTCAACTTACGTCTCAGGATGCCAGGTGCAGTGGCAGTGTCCCTCAGATCTTTGCGACTACTATGGACAGGCGTGTCGTTTAACACCAGGCGCACAACTCGGTCGTGACCTCACTTGGTATCTTAAAAAATATCTTCAGCTTTGTCAAATGTTGTTTCATTAGGACACAAAATAAGACCTTTGCTCTGCAGTGGAGATTAACGGATTTTGGATCGATGCTATGTTGCCGAATTTAAAAAGTTAATAGAACGAATGGGAGACCTAAAGTACTTTGGATAGTACCTTGCTCAATATCGAGGTAAATGTTACCACCATTTTGGGCCCCCGGTCGTGGGTACCTACCTAGCTACCTAATTTCGTCCATTTTTTTTATCAAGCGACGACGGGATATACATGTCGTGCGTCTTGTGATGAGCTACATGCCTATCCATAATAGTTACAGAGCCACTCAGAGGTTTAAATAGCAATAACCTAGGGGACACTGTCATTGCGTCTTTCATCCTCAAACAAAGCTGACAAGTCCTATATGCCTTCACCAGCACTCTTAACCTTCTCAAGGTCACATTACTTCTTGGTGGTAGAATCAGCTATCGTAGCAGTACTGGACGAACTCTTGCACAAGGAGTTTTACAATTGCTAATGTACCATTGTAAAAATTTAAGCATACCTAGATTACTTGCTAGGAGTATACTTATTAAGCTTGTAAAGTATGTTTTTAATTTGTATCGTCGTATAGACAGGCTACATTGCGGAAAAATGTTAAGTATGTTCCCACTAAATGATCTTATACGAGTATACGTAAAAGGTCCCACCGTTAATCATTACCGCTATAAGGACACAATTTGTATTGTAAGCTGTTTAAGCTTAGCTTTGGTTCACGTCCCGTTGCGCTTAAAGTCGTCCCCTCATCGCCGTTCGCTTAACTTGTGTGTAATTAAAATCTAATTTTTTGGTGTTAAAATTATACCTGTTTCTACGTGGAAAATCCTCATTATTAATTCAGCATGATGATCACTTTCTGAACCCTTACTCCGCCATTTCAGGCTCGCAAACTTGTGAATATTTAAAATTTCTTTAAAGAGTTTAGTCCCTTGTTATGACTTCTCTTTGTGGGTTTCCTACAAAGCAAGTGATAATATAATATTCACAAGATTAGAAAAGACTTTGAGGATCGGAATATAACAATGAAGTTGTTATGTAGCTAGATACCTAATTAACTTACTATTGGTATATATTGCAGCGAAAATATAGTCAGTGAATGAAAGAATCATATTCATTTGTATAAAGCATGGTTTTTTTACACACAGAACTTGACTGACTTATTTTTGCAATGTGTAATATACACTTATCTCTTTATTTACTGAACTGAGTTGTAAATGAAATCCACATAAATAGTAGACACTTTAGCGATAATCCATGCATATGTGCTTGTAAAGTAATTAAGTACCAGGTCTTATTTGGTTTTTTTTTCTATTTTTTTTTTATATCCAGTCCTCTATCCTTTTTTAAATCGCAAAGATCTGAAGAATACTGCCGCTGCGCCCGTTACCCTGAGACAAGTTAATAAGTCCCATGTGCCTGTAATTTCACCAGCACCCTTACCTTTCAAAAGCGGAACAGAATAATCTTACCATTACTGCGACGGGCGCTCATGTCGGTTATATTACTACATGACACTCCATCCCAGTATGAAATAATTATATGAATTGAAAACCAAATGAAATTAGATAGTAATTATTTTCAAATTTTACTACTTAGCTCGTATACACATAAAATAACACGGTTGAATGCACTCAAATATAATCATGATTACCGTATTTGTGTCAGTTTGACATTTGACGTTGGTATGACATAGTATGCCAATGCAATTTGCTTACTAAATAGTTTTAAAAGCCATGACCATTCATAGATAGTATTGGTGAAGCTATAGGTATTCATCGCGTTCTAGTCGAATCGCGTTCTCATACTTTACCAAACTAGACACGGAAAACTATCGTTTCTCTACATTTTAGAAACTAAGTCATTATTTAAATTTTTATTGAATTAATATTCAATTATTTTTTATGTTTTATGAACACTAGTTTGTTATAATTGTTGATACAAAGATAATTAGTCATTATTTTTATTAAGATTTTAACATTCGAGGAATGTTGTAAATATGGATTATTTCTGTGCAAACTCTCTATACAAATTCTCTCCAACCCTTGGGTAACTCAAATTATGCGAGTGGGAAAAAATGACGAACTTTCAAAGGTCTTGAAGCGTACGGTATTAGTTTCAAATTTATGTATCTAATTATAAGGCTTAGATTTCGTTCAAGGAGAGGTTTTAGAACACTCACCACTCGCTCAGTGTGGATTTGGAAACCTATTCCAAATAATCATTGTTATAGTCATAATTTATATACATACTTTCTACGATCCTAAGAAGCATACACGCATCAGTGCTATCATACATGCTCGTCGGTTAATGGTACTCTTGACCTGGGTCCCAATTCTGCAAATTTTCTTGGAACTGAGATCATGTTACAATATGATATTATTTGTTATTTTGCTAAAATTTAGTTGCAATGGCAGTTGAGAGAGTCAGTGGAATGGCAGTGGCGGCATTCATTCATTCAATCACCGACAATCGATGTCGCTTTACTAAAACTATTCGCAAACCTCGTAATCTCCGTTAATGTGAACTTGTGAATTGGCACAAAAACACAATGACTAGAAATATATCTATGATAATACCTTTTTGATTTATAACGAAAACACGGTCTAGAAACGATATTTTAATTTTTAATAGCCAAATATTGCGCTTGAAGAGTAAAATGTGTCACGCTGTTTGCAGTATCACGCGGGCGGCACCGTCCGAGCATGTCACGGGCCTATAGAGCCCTGATGATGTCCTTGCAGACGTTTATCCTTAAATTTCTTGACGTATTAGGAACAGTTAATGGTAGCTTCGATATTTTTTAATTTTTCCAGAAAAATGTGTGTGATGTATGTGCACAAACACATTACATCGTTATAAAACGTACAGAAGACATTGCATTTATAATTTAGTATGGTCGTCTCAGTACGTCTTGTCAGTTCCAGAATTTTGTAGAGAGTGACGACGGAAAGAAGCAAAGTAAGAATGGCGAAAAAAAAGAACGATTCAAAATTTCAAAAGTAAATGGCCAGGAACCAGAGAAAATGGTGATAAAGAGGTCGCATCATCACAAACGGTACGGCGTCTACAAAGAGAGTTACCGAGGTTTTCAAATTTAGCCGCATATCGTCGGAATATGTTAGTATTTATCTCGTTTAAACAGCAATTTAGTCTTCAAATATTTTTTTTATACCAAAAAAATTGTAAACTACGCCATCAGCGTGCCACCGACTCGTCGTTGAAGAGCAGAGTACCAAAAATTGCAATGGCAGTTGAATAGTAGCTTGATGGCTAGCCACTGACAAGCTACTATACTATTCTACTCTTAACTTTTAGCAGAATACCAAACCCGCATAATCCTGCCATTGGCACTTTATCGACACACAACTGAGATGATTTAAAAAAATAAGCAGTTTTAGGGCCTTGGTCTCACCTTACACGTGAGTTTTGTAATTGATTATGGTAGTCACACCCATAGTAGACTTAATTTCACTGGTTAACTTATTCTACACTTAAAATTTAACACACAATTTGATAATACGTGGAAAGTGTTAGACAAGTCGGTGAAAATCGAGTTGTATGGACGCTTCGCCACTGACACCCATACTCATAACATACCTGTCATAATCATAAAGTTTGCCATGAGGTTCCTGGGATTTAGGTATCCTGACGATCATGGCTCCAGCAACACCGTCAGCACGCTGCATACCAGAGTGCGAATGCCAGAAGTGAGTGCCGGCGATGGTGGCGTTGAATTGGTACCTAAGTATGAAGACAGTATGTATTAATATGTTTAAAGTTGTAACAAACTTGGCGAAGTATACGCGATTGAAATTACGCGTAAAACGCATTGACAAATGATTGTCACTAATTTCAGGTTTCTTACCACGGTATGATTTTGTTTTCCCGATATTTTGGAATGGTTACACACTTCATGGTAGCGGGTTGATTGGCCAACGGGAGATGATAGCTTTCAGAACAGATGATATGTCTGTTATAGACAATATTATCTGTCTGTTCTACGTGTAAAGCTGTTTAAGAACAGATATATCTGTCTGCCGAAGCCATCTTCTGCCGAGAATTTACAGATACGTCTGTTCTTAAAGCTGTTCTCTAGCTGGCCAGTCAACCCGTGACTATGGAACGTGTAACCGAAAATAGCGGAAAAACAAAAAGAAGTCATACCATCGGTAAGAAACCTGTAATTAGTTATAATCATCCAGTGAATAACCACGAAAGTCATAAAATCTACACACAACATTTACATGCAATGCAATAAAAAAATAAAAACAAATGAGTAATAAAATAAACATGTGAAATGTATGTACGACTCGTCCCAAAGGGCTATGGAGTGTACAAGCCTAGTTGATAAAGAACACAATAGCTTTAGCTTGTAGCTCGCAACCATGAGCTTTTCGTTGAAGGACAACATCGTGATAAAACCTGCACGTCGAAGAAGGTTTACAATCCTCAGAAAACGTGTGAACTCCCCAATCCGCATTGGGCCAGCATGGCGGACTATGGCCTAAAACCCTCACCTGAGAGGAGACCCGTGCCTAGCAGTGGGACGTATAAATGGGATGATGATGTAATGGTTAACACAGAAACAAAAAGACACACAAAAACATATGAAAAATTAACAAACACACACACACACACGCATCGGAGCGTAAACGACAAATTGAAATACGTTTCAAATGGAAAACTTTACCGTGATATTTTTAACTAAACTACGGCTAACTGAAGTGTAGTGTGCAATCCTTTATTATGACTTTGTTAAAAATTAAGCAAACAAGGGTAGTTGCTCGTCACCGCCGCTTACGTCAGCTTCCGTACTGAACCGTACTGGGTTTGACGCTTGTCAAGTGAAAATTCGACTAATTGAAATGATTAAAATTCTAAAATATTCTAGAAAAGCACAACACATAAGGCTTATAATTTACGAGATATCTATATCCCAGCATTGTTCGACAAGTTGCACGTGCGTATTTTCAATTGGACCAAGTTTAAAAAGTATTTACTTATTTTTTAACCGACTTCAAAAAAGGAGGAGGTTCTCAATTCGACTGTATGTTCTTTTTTCTTTTTTTTTCTATGTATGTTACGCCATAACTCCGGTATTTGTGAACCGATTTTCATGGTTCTTTTTTTGTTGGAAAGGGGGTACTTCCATAGTGGTCCCATTTAATTTTGAAGAAAATCATCCACCTTTAAGGGTGGTTGTTCACGCATGAAGATTCATTTTTATAAATAGCGCCTAATATTAATTTAGGAGCAATTATTTTAATGGTTGATTTGCTATTTCTTCAATTCAAGGCGTTTTTCTCTCAATATACTTTGAGTAGTGAGAACAGATTATTATTATCTCCAGAGTTAACCTGTATAGTGGCGAACTAGGGGATATTTCAATAAAACTTAGCAAATAGACGTCATTCCATGTTCTTTTGAGGTCGGTTTTTTTAGTACTCTGTACTGAGATTATTTATTTAATCATTTAACGTACAGGAAAACACAAGTCATATTTAATAAAACGGAAAACACAAACAAAAGGTGCTGCTTATTTCTAGAATAAATTTCTTCCTGCAGACCAAAATACAGGACAAAATAATTACAATACCACAAAACAAATTTAAATTATGTCACAAAATAATAAAAAAAAAAAACAATAGCAAAAATATTAAATTACTACAGACTATATAAATACTTACATAAATACATATTTAATATTATAATATCTATAAAATGGATGGAACAGTGGATAAATAGTGCCCCTTGACTCTCATTTTAAAAATAGCTAAGGAATAAGGATTTACTACTATGAACAGTAATGGGAAGTGCGTTCCAAAGTAGTTGATGATATTCGTATTATTTTCCTTTATTTTTTTTATTAAGTTATTATAGCTCGTTCGTTTTATTGTAGCGTATATACCTTTTATTTGGTCTGTGGCATATATTTAAACTACCTATCGTGTAAGAATTAATAAGCACGTAATATAATTGCAATGAATTTTTGTTGAAATTAAACTCAAAAATTTTAAATTTTCATGAATAGGAATTTATGAAGGTCCTAAAATATTTCAATAATTCATAAAACGTAACTCGCTGAATGAATTCTCGAGAGAAAATTTTTAATCGCATTAAAATTCCACTGAAATTTTAATGAAAAAAATGTAGATACATTTTCAACTCAAGTCATACCTGAAAATCGTTTTTAAAAACATGAAAAAAAACGAGGGTGACAGCAAATTATCTCCAGGTTTTTTGAAATATTTCGAGTCTGATGTGGATACCTCAGCTTGAATTCAAATTTTTCCCGTGCTAACACGGTTCATTTTGCTTGGGTCGAGCGGCAGGGACACTGGGTTTATGTCAAAATTAATTTTTTTACAAACGGAATTAAAGCCATTTAAAAATATATATCGTATAGTATACGTGTTCTATATAGTTCAGTTGATATAAAAAAAAATCATTGCTATATGTAAAGTATCTATTTAATACAGCGGTTTTTTGTAAAATTTCGAGGTAAGTTTGTGTTTCTTTTTCATTCGTGAATTTGTTTAGGAATCGTGTTTTCACACCATACAATAATCAGTGTAAATCCTCAATTTTACTACACATTTTTTCCAAAGTAATGAATTCAACACTTTTACTGTTATGCGGAATCAACCAAAGCCATTTTTGGTAGTACCACACACACACACATATGAATTTGAACTTGTTTTTTTAACAACTAAAACAGAAGGCATTGGTAGTAAACTAGAGGGCCCAAACACGATTGACTTTCCTTAATAAAAAAATACAAATTTCACAAAATTTTAATTTTTTACTTTTATTTGTTATTAAATATATTTTTATAAAATGTTATCTCCCGTGGTCCATAATGGACACGTCTGGGGACTATGAGCTTATTTTAAAGTAAAAGAGTATAACGAATGAATACTGTGAAAGAGTATAAGTCCCTTTTTTAAGTTTTTTGCAGTGTTATTCTTGTAGATACAATAACGTTATAATCCCTTTGCAGGCAAAACACAAAATCTTAATAATCTCTATTCATCGATTTGGCTTAGTGACTTTTATCCTTAAACCGACGATATTTTATTTTTAAAAGGCAAAATGTTTCAATAGTGTGCAATGATTGTCTGCGCATGTGAGGTACAAGCTTTAAAATCTACGCAACCACGATACCATATCAATTTAAGGCGACTTATTTCAACGCGAGCCTACATTTTAGGAGGTGAGGTGTGGGGGACCGTCTCTCGCCTCCCACAACTCACACGCTGAAAGTTATTATGAATAAAAGGCGGAGAAAATTTGACACAAATCCGAGGTCGAGAAGTGCCCGAGAGCGACTGACGGGTAGCGTGCGGTGCGTCGTAAATCCGCTGGGCAATTTTCAAATTTTGGAATAAATGTGACATTAATAACTTTAGTTGAAAACCAAAATTTAGCAAGTTCTATGTAGTACTTAAAGAGAAATATACTCATACAAAAATTATGTAACAGATAATTTATTCTTAAAAATTCGTTTTAGACTTTTATTTTACCATGTTTTTAGGATTTTATATCATCGGGCAAAGTATATCTTACCGTGTAATAAATTGGCATACTATTTAGACAATATCCTTAGGTGTGTCGTATATTGTATGTACATATGTTTACCAACATTCAAAATTTAAGACATCATGCTCACCTAAAAGTGGTTTCTGGTAGGATAGGACACTGCGTAACATAAGGCGTTCCGTCCATGAATGGTGTCCCCTTTTGATGCTGTCCGTGCCAGTGGATTGTGGTTCCTTCTGTCATCAGGTCGTTCTCTACGTCCACTATTACTCTATCATGTTGGCACACCTGAGGGCAATTAGTAAACGTGAACATTTCAATCATCATTCAAACTGCCTCTGTGGCCGAACGGTTACCATACCGGACTGCCACGCAGAGGTCCCCGGGTTCGATTCCCGGGCCGGGAGAAATATTTGTATGGCCTACATTTATTTCTCTCGTGAGTTTGGGTGTAATTTGTGGTTGTCTATGTGTGTGTCCATGGCACCCGCGACACAGGGTTTCCCTAGTGCGGGGCTATGTTGAGTGTGTGCGTTATTATTATTATTATTATTATTATTATTATTCACCATTCGTCTCTCTGTTTTAAAACTTTGTTGTTTTTAATACAATATCGATGAGCAAATCAACATTTTACATCATCATCGTTTCATGATTTTACTTTGGTTCAAAAATTAAAATATTTAAACAGATCGCTCTAAACGTTGATAACTGTGTGCGGGGTTACTACCGCAATCATATCACAAACTCGAATTTTTTTTCGAAATACCTAAATAAATAGCATTTTTTTTAGGTATTTAAATAGCAAACCGTTCTATCGGTTCCGCCGCGCGGCCGCCGCACGTTTCAGTGTGGCAGGGTCATCGAGTATATAACCAGAAATAGAGACGAAATAATGACCAGATTGCCATTCTTGGTAACTCATCAGCGATACATTACTTATAAATATCATCTCTCGTTTGCACTGAAATTACAAATAAAAAAATCTGAAATAGTAGCGTCTACAACTGATCTGTGTGTACGTCTCCGTATATTCCAAAAATATTATGTGTTTATTGTAATAAAAATAATATCTCCAACAATGACGTGCTGTTCCATTCGGTGGTGTAGGGAAAAACAGCAAAACACCTAATTACAAAACAAACGGAATCAAATTTCATTGGTAATGAAATATTAAATATGTAAGTTTTAATTTTGGTCCATTATGGCAAAGTTCAAGTTAACTGGTCGATTTGAAGTGAAACAATCAATGACACCCGTCAATTGTTTCGAATTCGGGCTGGCTGGCCAATCGGAGCGCAGTTGTCATGTATGGCAGAATAGTTTTCAAACAAATAAAATGACATTTTGTCTCTATTTCTGGTTGTATACTCGATGCCTAGCGCCCATCAAGTGGAGGATTGTAGGTTCGAATGCAGGCTTACAATACATACATTTGAGTTTTCGGAATTTGTGTGCAAAATTTAGTTTGAAATTTACTATGAGCTTTTATATGAAGGAAAATATAGTGAAGAAAACTGCACATGTCTTTAAAGTAATTTAATGATAATAACTATAGCATAGCATCACTCAAAGCCCCGCACTGGGGAATCCCTGTATCACGGGTGCCACGGACACATACATAGACAACCACAAATTACACTCAAACTCACGAGAGAAATAAATGTAGGCCATACAAATATTTCTCCGGGCACGGGAATCGAACCCGGGACCTCTGCGTGGCAGTCCAGCATGGCAACGGTGCGGGCACGGGGGATTTTTTTTTGGGAGTTTATGATGTGTGAAGTTTCCAATTAGCATTGGGGCCACTTGTAATGGCTGCAGGTAGTTATCACTTTTTACCACGTGGACCGTCTGTTTACCATTTTGAATACCATAGAGTTAAAAAAAAGTGATTTTTGACTTCGATTATTTAAATTCGCTAATAAAATGTTGGCTGCCCATATAAAATGTACGAATATTTTGCTTCGGACTTTTTTGTTTAAGCGAGAAAACATTGTCGCGAATTTAGTTTGTTTTTAAATTAAATTGTTTTTAATTAATATTCCTACATAGGTATATTGTAAAAAGTTCTAGGAACGTTTATTAACAATAATGTAGAAAAACCTAGCATGTTATTATCTAACACGTATTTAATTTAAAGAAAACGATGCTCATAAAAGAAATTGAGGCTATCAGCGCAAAAGGTGTATCCGCGTGAAATGCAATAGAAAATGAGGGATTTAAAGTAAGTTAAATTGATTGTATATAGAGTTATTACATATCATTAATATATATTATAATTATTAATTTCTTTTTTATGCGAAACAGCATTTAAATATATAATAATTATGCACTTTAGTCATCATTTAAAGTAAGTAATATTGTGGAAACAAATGTAGGTTACGCCACTTTTGCGTTGAGCCTCAATGAACTCTCAATTAGCTGCTAAAAAGTTTTAGTAAAAGCAGCAAATGCCTAATTATTTTCGTTTAGAATAATTAAAACTAATTTATATTTTAGAAGATATTTCAGTAAAACAGTGGGCGAAAATGGTTCGCCTTGAGAAAATAATTGAACGTACAATACAAAAGCAAACACAAACCTAAATCATTATTATTTCATAAGTAAGCAAATTACACTTGAAATCGTTATAATTTGTTAAACTCCACTGCTTATTCGTAAGGCAGATTCTCCTGAGAAGAATGAGCAAGAAACTCTAAGGGTTGCTCTTTGTAAACATACATTTGAATATATTTATCATTTACAATATTTATTTCAAATATCTTAGATCGAGAATACCTGGATAAGTTAAATGGGTCACTACTACGGATTTTTGTCATCCATGTAAGTTGAGCTGCTGTATAATAATATAACCTTTAGAATAAACTTGTTTGCCTTAAGAGCAAACTTGTTTGTCCATATCTTGACATATTGCTATCTAGAATAACCGTTACGAATAGCTTTCATCCTTATGCAATGACGTCGTAGAATGAATACTTCCTATGTGATTTCTGGGTATTTTTTGAGGAAGAAGATAAACGTGCGGTGTAAAATATAATAAAAACAATGTTGGCATTTCTATTAGTTAATTTTTTATTATACTAAGTAACGGGATGAACTAGTCTTGCGCCTGGTGGCAAGCGACACGGCTGTCCATAACAGTTGCTGTGCCGCTCAGAGCTTTATATCGCAAAGATTTTAGGAGCACTGCCACTGCACCCGTCACTTTGAGACATAAGTTCTTAAGTCTTATGTGCCTATAATTTCTTCAGCACCCTTACCCTTTAAAATCGAAACGCATTAATTAATTCTTTATATTTGTTCGATCTTTATATCAAATCTTTTTCAGATACTATATTATTGTATATTATTATATATTATTGTATATTACATGTTCTTACCTCTATACTAGGTCCAGGCATCTTCCTGTTAATAACATTTAATGGCCTGTTCATGCCATCAGCTGGAATACAATCCTTTCTAGAACAATCACTTTCATTGTAAGGACAATTATAACACGCCTTGCTCATAGTCTGATACCACTCTATACTGAAATGATAGTAGCATATCATTCGTTCTTCTCCTTCTTTACATTCTCGTAGACATGGGTGCGCACCATTTGTTAGTTCTCCTTTGTATTCATCATGCTGTGATTTCTTCTGTACTTTCCCTGTGACCTTCCTTGGTATTATCTTTAACTCATTGTTATTTAATTGTTGAATTGCATCGTCTAAATATTCTACTGCATGACTTAATATACCTTCATCAATTTTCTCATGTACTATAACATTGGTGTTATTTTTAACAGTCATTATAACTGTAGATGCACTTTCAGGTCTCGTTCCGTTCTTACTGACGATTTTGACGTCATCGACCGTGACGTTATCAAGCCTCGAGTTTTCGTTTTGTTTTGTTTCGTTTTTAATTGGGGCTGGTACTGGTAATACTGAATGAGCATCTGAAATTTTTATATATTCTTTTGGTGGACTACTTTTTTCAAATTCTGAGTTTATTTCTGCTGTTTGAGAGTTTAATCCGGTCGGCATACCTGAAAAAAAGAGATACACATAAGTTGTAATGTAACAGGCTTTTTTAAATTGAGTGAAATCTATGCAACTACTCTTGAAGTCCGTCAACGAAAAGACGGGACCATTCGAAACTGTTAAATGGCACGTTCGAAATTGTCAAATCGCGTTGTAATTTTTAGTTTAAGCCCCGATCGAAACCCAAATCTGTAAGTCATCCATAGTGAGAAAATTTCCGTAACTACGGATTTTGTTCTTCAAGAGTAGGGTCTCTAACCAAAATACTAAACCTAACATTTCTCTGTTGGAATATAACATTTGTACCTTAAGATAATCTAGCCTCAGTACAGAGTACTAAAAAAACCGACCTCAAAAGTCATTCATCCTCTAGTTTACCACCTTTAGAGGTCGAATATTTTCTTCAAATTTAAATGGAATCATTTCTGAGGTACCCTTTTTCCAACAAAAAAAGAATCATCAAAACCGGAGTCATCGCGTAACATACATACAAAAAAACATACAGTCGAATTGAGAACGTTCTCCTTTCCTTGAAGTCGGTTAACAATGACAGTAATTATTAATACCAAAATCGAACACTTAGAAAAAATTTCTTCGATCCGGCTGGATTGGAACCTACGTCGTCTAGTAAACCATGCCAGAGGCTATGCCAGCTAAGCCACGGAACGAACCAGCGGACCTAACGAATTTTTCTATGTGCTCGTTGTCGGATCTTTTGTATCTGGTTTTTAACGCCTTTTTTAGCCGTAGCGTCATCTATGAGAAATCTATGAAAGGATTTTGTCACCGAGGTCCTGGCTAGAGATATCGCCAATGACTGTAATTAAGTTTTTTCTAAGTATTCGTGTTAATAATTATAACAAACTAGTGGAGTAATTTCACAAAAAATAAATGAATCTCATGGTGGTCAAACGTCTTGACATTCAACAAAACACTTAAAATGACTGTAGTTAATGATGTTTACTGCCCACTTTGTTAAGTAAGTTGTCTACCTACGTAATTTTATAATTTTTTCTACACATTATATCATAAAGGAATTCACGGATGTAAGCCGATGCTCCAATGAGCAAAAAGTGGAGTGTCCTTTTTTTGTAAATGCGTGTAATAAAATTACTTCTATTCAAATGTTTATTTTACCTCATACCCATGTATCTCTGTCTAATGATCATCGTAGATCTAAATGGGTAAATAGGGCCTTTTAGCTCGTGCAAAATTGATCACAAAACTCATACTCTTATCGTGGAATTTTGAATGTACCGGTAAAAAAGTTTCGATACCAGTAACCGAAAAAAATTACATCGTAAATTAAATCGTAACCGCATGCTTTTTGCGATCAATTTAACACAGAGTGAATGACCATAAAGTTTATCTCTTACCTGTTGGGCAGTTAATATAACAAATCGCTGCCCTTATACAATACTCCAGATTTTGAACTAAGCTTACAGTAACACGATCAAAGCATGGGAAACTTGAGATAAAGAACCCATCTTCAAAATTTTTCTTTTTACCCTAAGAAGTTGGGTGCTTTTTGCTTGCTCTGGTTGTCGGTGCATAGATACTTAGTTTAAAATGGTAGTATTCTGCGATACGCGTTATTGTATGAAGGCAGCGATATGTTCTTATTTATTACAAGTACAAAAATATTCAATAGATAAAATGCATGGCTTTCTAAAATAGTCATCTATCTCAAAAACATCTAATTCACCAGGATCACAGATAAAAAAAAAAGGACGCATATCTAAAAAATAAAAAGTCGGAATGACGATGTCCACTAACTGGAACGGGACTAAGTGACAAAATGTTTTTTTGAGACATCATAAAAACCATATCCTAGTTTTAGAATACTGAAATTGTTTAATGATATTTTAGCTATACATCGTTAGAGTGAGTTCCGATAAGTCAAACACGTTAACTAATTGTAACTGTTTTTGAAAGACAATATCGTGCTCTATTTTTTTCTATTTAAAACGGTTATTTGAGCACTTGTCACTTAGCCACACTTTAGTTAGTGAACAGCAGCATACTGGTCAAATGTTATCACGAGATTATTTTAAGGTAGCAGCAGCCCTCTCCCGTTCGCTTCAAGATTTAATTATTCAAAATTCAAAGTAGGCCGTATCGTTTGAAGAGCACATTTTTGAAACAAACACCTTCAAAGCCTATTAATGTTTCGTCATGAAACGAATAAACTCGAGATGATGTATAAAAGCTTAACTTGCGTTCGCAGAAAACGTCCCCGACAAGGTTATAACTCAGTTCAAAGGAGCTTTGTGTTAATTTGCTGTAATGGGATTGCACGGTTCTCAATTAGGAAGGCCCACGTTTCTGTCTTATAGAGCAATGATTTCTATATCGAACCTCAGGGCTCGACTCCAACAAAAAAGCTTTTATTGGATTCGCTGCTTTTCCAAAACAGTGACAAAATACAAAATAGCTCACTTTCTGACTTTTATTACACAACCATATTCAGAATGTGTTCAATTTGATTGCGAATTAAAAACCGAGCTTTCCATTGGTTAACCTAATAATATGAATAGTGCCAGACTTAAGTTAGTTAGTTCAGAACCAAGCGCTGGTAAAAATCCAATCGGATCGAAGGAAATTTTCTTTGTGCTTGTTCGAGCTTTGTGTCAATAATAATAACAAACTAAAGTACTAGCACGCTATGATGGCCGTTTTGACGTTTGCCCGCTCATCAAGTTTCGTATTAGTTAATAACATCGAGTATATAACCAGTAATACAGACGAAATGTCATTTAATTTGATTGAAAACTATTCTGCCATATCATTACTGTGACAACTGCGCTCCGATTGGCTAGCCCGAGTTCGAAACAATTGACGGGTGTCGTCAACTGTTTCACTTCAAATCAACCAGTTAACTTGAGCTTTGCTATAATGGAAGAAAATTGCAAAATTACATATTTAATATTTAATTGCCGATGAAATGTGATTCCGTTTGTTTTGTAATTAGATGTTTTGCTGTTTTTCCCTCACCACCGAATAGAACAGCACGGCATTGTTAGAGATATTATTTTTATTAGTCTATATTTCGGTGCAAACGAGAGTTGATATTTATAAGAGCTGTATTGCTAATGTGTTACCAGGAATATATGGCCCTTATTTCGTCTCTATTTCTGGTTATATACTCGATTCATAACTACATTGAAGGAGCTAATTGCTGTATATTGTGTCAAAATAGTGAGGCAGTAAAATTTATGGAATGTATAATTTTACATCACAACTCGGCATTTGTATTTCTAAATTAAAAAAATGAAATCTAATCCGATCGTTACTTCTGGGATCTTTCTGGGATCGCTGGCCAGCACAACTTCTACCTCCTCCGGCAAACTCGCATCAAAGCTCAATGCAAAACAAAGCAGTTTCGAATTGACGACATACTTAGTGAACATTTTTATTTTCGTTTTATTAAAACTTTTTAATCATCTACCCCTTGCAATACTATTGTAAAAATCTAGAAACTTATAGCTGCGACTCGCATATTTTCGATAATGAATTGAGATTTGATCTAACTATTGTAATCTGTCAAAAGTGGAGGATTTTCACAAAAAATGAACATTAGGGGAAAGTCTATTAATTTGAACCATTTTTTTTTCAAACGCGTTTTAAATATATATTTTTCAGATTTTTTACAAGCGTCTATGAAATGAAACAATAATTATCCGACTTTGTATTTATGAAGCATTAATTGACATAAATAATTATTAACTTAGAATAATAACGCATAGAAACCTAGCTCGCACACGCAAGTGAGGCAAATTGTAGGGCACCTACACCTACACCTGTGGGCCTACACGAGCGGGCGAGCTGTCAGTGCTTAAGGTCAAGTTGCACCGCGAACAGCTCAAACATTTTTGCTAAAAATGACGAAATGTGCGGTAAATGGGTGTAAAAATAGATCAGACAAAGATAAAATAGACACTAACATCACATTCCACAAGGAAGTAACGCGTTTCAACTTGTATTTTTATGTAAATATTCACTAAGACAGAAAATTAATTACGTTGCAATAAGATAGGAAAATGTTGCGAAGTAACGGGTTTTTTTTCCTCATTTTGCTATTCTGTTTCAAAATATTATAAATATTGTATATTACGTAATTTTTTGAGAATATTCAATATCGCGACGGTTGCATAATTTCTACAAATGTACACCGCCTCGACAACATTGTAGGGAATTTACGTTACTTATTTTTACGGTACATATTTAATATTTGCCTTCATTAGTTTCATGTCAAAAATCATTATTCTTACTCATCATACAGTCATTAAAAAAATTGTCTTGCACAGACGCAAATGTTCTTAAATAAACTTATTTCAGGGAACTAACACTGACTAAAAAAGTCATCGTCAGTTCTTCAAATTCGTGTATAAATAACTTTCAGGTTCATGTTCTTTATTTTTATCGTGTACTTTTCATGTGCTTATGCACAGATAATATCAGGCTATTTTTGTAGTCAAATTCGATAGTCGCACTTAAACTCGCTTTTAGGTTTTTGTTCATATATGAATTAAATAAAAATTGGGTAGTATTTATTAAGGTGCCTACAGATTTGCTCGACATTGTCGAAAACGGTACCCAACTTGTCATTATTCGAAAAATCGTGCCCGCCATCTTGAATTTGAAATTAGTGCCATATTTTTAATGAGCACCCCCAAATACCTCGAAAACGACACCTAAATTGCTATTATTTGAAAAGTCATGTCCGCCATCTTGGATTTAGAAATAAGTGCTATATTCGTAATGAGCACCCCCAAATACCTCAAAAACGATACCCAACTTGCCATTATTTGAAAAGTCGTGTCTGCCATCTTGGATTTAGAAATAAATGCCATATTCGTAATGAGCACCTCGAATACCTCAAAAACAATTCCCATATTGCATTTATTTGAAAAGACGTGTCCGTCATCTTGGATTTAGAAATGAGAAAAGTCGTGTCCGCCTTCGTGTATTCAGATATAAATGTCATTTCCAAATTTTACATAAT